AAAGGTTAAGGTGTGCTCATGATTCATGGTTTGAATTGAATTAGAGAAGTCAAAGTAGAAAGAGGTTTAATAACTTGTGAAAACTATATGCTAATCTATTATCAAATCAGGGAGAATAATGCATATTTGAGAAATATTTCACAAGTTATCATGTTAATTGTTTTATTTGTTATTTAAATGAACCTCTCTAAATCTTAATTTAAATTGATATTTTATGAATAATTTTTTTTGATGAGAGTTTGTTTCATATCTTGAGGCTTAATTCTCATTTATTTTATTTTTAAAGAAAATATTATTCTGCTAAATTTTTATGATTGATTGAAATATATTTTATGCAATGTTTTCTGAAAATTTTAGGCATGATGTCATTATTATATATGATAACATTCGCATAATATTTTCAATATGGGATTAACTTTATATTCTTTTTAGATCTGATGGTAGCGCAATAGTAGTGGTTAGATCTGACGCACCGCATGAAGCCATGTCACTGCTGTCGTCATACGAAAAAGTAGCTCAGGATTCAACGGCGACCGCTAGAAGATCCCACGATCCAAGAGACGCCACATCACAGCCATCAACGCACAAAAAGTAGTCGCCAATCCAACGGTGGTTATTGTGGCATCTGATACACAGATCCCGATAAAGCACGCGCAAAAGGAACGAGAGTCGATGGAGATCTAACGGCGATTATTGGGCCACGTCACCCATCTTCAGAGCAAAATGATGGCATGAGGATCCAACGGTTTTCATCGAACCACGCCACTGAGGATATATTTACAAATATTGATTATCGTCTAGTAAAATAGACGATATCGATTATTCTCTCGTGCGTGCAGAAAGGTATATGTTCAAATATCGATTGTCATCTGGTAAAATGGATACTATCGATTATTGCTACGCAAGAAAATGGAAAATGCCAAAAAAATAAGAAAAAAATCAGCAAAATACGGTAGAAAATAGGAAGTCAAAACAGAAAATGTGATTTGTGGATTTGGGGACAAAAAGGAGGAAGAGGGGAGAGAAAGAGGCCTTTTTCCGGAGTTGTTCTTGGGTTGCTCTTTAGAGAAAACGTTGTTCTTCTTTCTCATATGAAAATAGGAATCTGAAGAATGCATCATTGATTTTGATTGTTCTCCTCTACACTTTTCACCTTAAATTCATTCCGTTGAACTGGATGCAAGATTGAGAAGTGCTACCCAGAGCTCAACATCAAGGCATGCATTTGAAGGATTGTTAGTTTGATTTTTAATAGAGTTTTCATTATTTTCTTGTTTAATCTGTGAAATAATTTTATTTTCTTAGGTTTAATCATTTATTTACTTGTTTCTCTTCTATTTTTTCAATCAAAAGTATATTTATTTTACTGATTTTAATTCATTTAATTTTTAAATTCGTATTTACATTTATTTGCTATTTTATTTCATTTATTACTTTGAATATCAATTTCAATCTTCTAATCAATTTCGTAATTCTTTAAATTAGAGAATAAAAATATTTTTAAAAGCATTCCCTGAGGAGATGACCTAGTTCACCACTATATCCATTTAAAATAATTATTATTATCTCTAGTGAATCTAGTTCTATAAATTATTAAAATTGATTGATGATTCTAATAACGGCTTAGAACCAAATCAAGGTTCTTCGGTAAAAGTTCCTTAAAAGATTCATACATTTCAGTGTAATCACATGAAATTATCTCCTTAATCTGCATCTATGCTTTAGGAACAACTCTCAGTGAAACTTTTTTCAAGCCTCAGCCAAGTAATGTTACATGTTGTAATCATTTACTAGGGTGAACTTTGGAAATATAACTATTATATTGTGCTGGTTTGGCATCATCATGAATCATTTAAGAATTGTTTCCTATATATGATGATATCTTTTTTTGTGAGTTTAGGTAAAGACCATTCTTGTCTGCCCAATGCATTGAATGCACAGACTGAATCATGAATGGATTATGTGTTTTAATGACAAAGAAACGAGCTGGGGCTGTACATGAAATACCACAGTACTTTGTTTGTTCAGCCTCATGACTGATCATGGTGTAAGTCTCTCTCACCACTGATCATGTGGTTCTGTTTTGTACGACACAGTTATAGATTATTGTTTTTCTTCCAGGTTTGTTGGTGATCAATGTTTCACTGATGTTCTATATTGAAATCGAAATGACTTTCTTACATTTCTGAATGAGCGTTTGTAATATTTCTAAAGAGCTATTAATTGTTAAACTGCTAATTTTCTTGAAGGATATGCTTTTTTAGTTCATTTGTAGAAAAGCGAACATATTAATTTTACTAGTGCTGCCTGATGACTTGTCAGACACTATGGAAATCTTTCCGAAGCATGGCACATTGGTTTCATCCATTGTTAGTGATGAACAGCATCCAAACAAGCTGCTGAATAGAATTCTTTTTTTATGTGAACCATCGTTGCATGAAATTATGTACATTTTAAAATGTCAATCACAAGGGCTATAGCTCAGTTTGTTGAACACTCGCTTAGCCATGTGTCCATGTTTTAAAAGTAGTCAATCTGGTAATAAAATAATTGATCTTACAGGTGGTCAGTGAAGGTCTGAGTCCATGGATTCGAATCTCCATAATGTTTTCAAAGGTGTGCTTGCAATTTTGTTTTTTTTTAAAAAATAATCAGGAATTGACATTCTAGCAAAGGCCTTTGTGTTTCTGGGCAGTCAATCTATGATTGTTTAGGGCTCTTCTGACTACTAGAGGTGCATGAATGTTTGCTATCTGTGAAGCACTCCTTTCTTCATCTCATTGGGGTGGGGTGTATGCTATCTCTATTTTTTTTAGGGATTTCTACCAATACGGTAGTTACAAAGGCTAGAGGAAAAATGGGTTGATGTCAAGAAATCATTTCCTTTTGTCATTGATATTTTCTTATGTCATTGATACATATGATTCAGCTGAAGTACTCCTTTCGATCTTATTCTACAGATCATGATTCTTAACTAAGTATATTTAAATATTCTTAGGGGCTCTTTTTTATTTCAGCTTTATGTGATTAATTATAAGCCTAAAAACAATTATACTGGATACTTATCAGTGGACAGTCAACAAGTAGGAGCTCTTAGCATAGTGGATATAAACTAGTGGCCTAACCATAGTAACTGTTGTGGATGCAACTTATTTGTGTGTTTTATGTTTATAAACTAGCATAAATAAAATATTTTAATCTAATTTTCTCCATTGGATTATCCCTCATTGATTTATAATTATCAGCCTAGATTCATTAAATGATTGAGTACTTTGCATTGATTATTTTGATATGTTGAATAATATTTATAATTATTTGAACGTAGATAATGAGTCATCCTCCATTCATTGGTACATATAATTTGATTCGTGTTATGATAATATTATGGATGCAAGAAGTGGGATAGATCTACGTTCATTCCCATTGAATAATATTTATGGCTCCTATTTTCTTGAAAAACAATTATTTCTTTAATGATGATAAGAGTTTGAAATTATTGTATCTAGAAATATATTTTCTATACATTTGGTAAAATCTAAGGATAAATAATTTTATAGGATACCTTAATCTTAGGCTAAAAAAAGTGAACTGTCTTAGTATATTTGTATGAACTCTGCTACTTTCCTACACACAACCCAGAAATACAGCACTAGTTTAGCAACCACATAATTATAAAGTCTAATGCAAAATATTTTAATAAGTCAAAACTAATTGATAGGTTATTCTTCCACCTCTCTACTACATTGGTTCTGTAGGGACTTTCAAAGTTTAGGCATTATTTCAAGCTTAATTACCTTCTAGCTGTATGTAAGTCCATATTTGAAGTTCCTATTTAGGTATCAAAGGGAGGGGAGGGGGCAAAGGGATGGAGGGACAGAAACATCTTATTCATTTATTGTGCTAGAAGATAAGAAGATTGACAAAAAAAGGCATAAATTATTCTTCATTTTTATCTTTATGAAGCATTAGGTCATGGCATTAACTCAACCTAATTGGTAGGTTATTGTGTATTAACATAAAGACATGGTACATTAGTTTGATGGAAAAGGGATAATTTTATTATTGGGTCTTTATTTTTTGTCCAAGTGGGACCAAAAATATAAACCAAGAGGCAGGGGTACTAATTTGTGTTTTATTGCTCTAGGTGTTCTCTAGTTATTTTGGTTGTCCATGATCGTCAGTCAGCCACTTGGGTCTGTGGAATCTTAGATAAAATGAGTCCTTGAGAAGTCAGCGGTGTATGTGCTGGGCTTAGATACATAGCAGAGTTAATAAAAATATAGCTAATAACTAAATTTCTTAGATACATTGCAGAGTTAATAAAAATATAGTTAATAACTAAACTTCTTAGATACATAGCAGAGTTAATAAAAATATAGCTAATAACTAAACTTCTTAGATACATAGCAGAGTTAATAAAAATATAGCTAATAACTAAACTTATTCAGGAAACACTATGTACCAAATCTGGTACATCTTTTTATTCAGGAAACACTATGTACTAAATCAAATAATTCCATCTTTTTATTCCGTACTGTATATATCTTTTATAACAAAACAGGAACCATAAGTATTATTCATAGGGCCATGAACATTTATACTATTTCTTACCTCCATAATATTAGATTTCACGACATAAATCGATTTACATATACATGTCAATGTAGGATGACTCATTATCTACCATCTCATAACTGGAAAAGATTTTCAACACATCGAGGCTCGAGACTGCATACATCCGCTCTTGGCGCATCATATCCATCTATTCCTCAGAACGGCCATAATCAAGCACTCTTCGCGGGCCCATTTGCAAAACAGTCGACACGTGTGAGGTCAAATACTTTCCACCCGTCATCCAGCGGGTCGTGGAAATCTTGTTTTCTTATCCGCTATGTCCTTTAGCTCGCGGTCACCCTCCGACTTCTCCGTGCACGCGTCTTCTACCAAGTTATACCCACAATTGGTAACGTTCCTGGAGCAGTAGTAGTATCAGAATAAGGATGGGGTGGCTCAACAAGCTGAAGCAGCTCTCCGCCGAGAATTCCCCAACATCTCCCAAAGGTTGGGCCTTTCTTCTTTGTTACTTGGGGCCCCCATGACCCCTGTACTTTCTGTTTCTGACGATCTGTGTGCATTGGATTCGGTCGGCAGAGGGTGGCGGTAGCGATCAGAGGAGCGGCGGCAGTGCCGCTGCCTCTGCGGCGGTGAGCACACCGTCACCGGACGCCAAGGAGAACGTTTCCCCGATCGTCTTTAATCCCGGCAGTAACCTGTTCACCAAGGCCATCGGCGCCGAGATCCTCGACAAGCCCCCGCCCAGCGCCGCCACCGGATAGACGGGTTCGCACCTCCCCCTCCCTCCCCCCCCCCCCGGGCTCTTATTTTCTCTCTATCTATCCATCTGTTTTCTCTCCCTTGTAACAATATATCGATAATTGGGGGGCTTTAAACCGTGGCGACCAAGAGGTCGCATCCCTGAAGAGGACGGTGTACCTAGGTACGTAGGTTGCCCGCTTTCGTGTGATGCAGTCACCATGCCATATGCCATCTTCTTTCGTACTCCAAAGGTGGTTATCTCGTGTGTAGCGTTTGAATAAGTTCTTCCAGTGCGTGTGAAGGGCATCATCCCTCTGGTACATGTACTGTGGATGCTGTGCACGAAAGTAAGATCTTGGTGTTCGAGTCAGTCTTGGCGAACAAGCCCAACGGCCCCACTAAGTTCCTGCACCAGACCAAGGGCAGAGCAACGAGCTGACTTGAGAAGGTGCAACCCAGATCCTTCACCAGCTTACGGCTCTCCCCTGGACATCCACCGTCAGAAATAGAACTATCCTGAATCGCTCTAAAAGCGTCCGAAACTTCCAAGGTTCCGAGTGCAGCTTTTCTGGGTCCCGTCCCCAGCCCTGAGTAGGACAGAGGAGTTCCAGAGGGACCCTTGCCAATCTGAGGAAACAAGTAAGAGCTGGCCTGAATGATTAAGAATGATTAGGCAAGAAAACCCACAGAAGACAATAAAGTTATGAAAAATTATGTAAAGGAATCAAATCCCCTACACTAATGTGATGATTATGTAAGAGAAAATTATTGACATCCTTAATGTGATGATACCTATAATATAACAATGAGCTTGTTGGCACAATTACATGGAGAATTATTACCTCGTTGGCTTTGTAAATTTCAATCTTATGGATGGCAGCTTACTTTCAAGATTCTATCACACAGTTTCAGAAGATTTGGGTTTGGAAATCATTGATAAATAATCAAGAATATATAATTCACTGGTTGAGTGAATACCCAATCAACCAAACTGAATGTAACTATCATAAGCCTTCAAAATTTGTTCAAAATCTTGCCAGAAGTAAAAATAAGAATAACTAAATTAAAAATAGCGACGAGGAAATAAATATTGTTGCGATTCCCCTCCATAAAATATTAAATATCTCCATGAGTATGCAGTATGTAATCGAGGAAATCCTATGATCTAGAAAAAAATAGGATATGAACATCATACCGCATAATGGGGATGTGTAAAACTTAAGTTTGTTTATCTTATGTGCCCTAATATGAAAGAGATCTCGGTCATGAAATGGTTGAAGAAATAAGAAAAAATCTGCATACCCCTTTTTATGTCTCTGCATTTTAACCATAAGCAAGATTAAGATGTTTCACCTTGCCACCAAATGTTCTTATCAGCTGATTGTAACTCAACTGGACTCGATTCCACTGTCTGAAGTTTAATGTAAATGAAGTTCTGGGAAAAACAATGACAGCACTAGTGAACAAGAATAATTTGCATTTTATAGGAGGCGATTGTGAAAGCAAAAGAACATTTTTGGGGATATGTTGTCACTGATACCTAGAGAGTGATGATGAGTAACTAAGGAGGACATGCTGTTCAGGAAAACCAATGTGTTTTAGAAGTGGAGGAAGAGTAATTTTAGGGAGGCATCTCTTCTACCACTCAAATAATAGAAAGTTTTCTATTTGCTCACAATTTTTCTAGACACAAAGAAGGAAAATAACAACCTAGGTTAAGGGAATGGACGGAACCCAAAACTAGAATAGCAGGAGAAGTTTAGGGCTGTCAAAGAAAGCTTAAGCACTTGATGATGAGGACAACCGCTCTCCTTTGTCACAACAGTGTGATTCTCTCCCATGTCTGCCTTGGCCCAACCGTAATACCTTTCCCCACTCTAGAAAAAAATGGCTTAAGTTCCTGTCCTTAATTGGGTTTGATATTATTTTTGGGCATCTTTATCCTTCTTGTGTAGTTTAGGCCCACAAGGGGCTTATAATTAGCCCCCTACCCTATGATAGAGATCTTATCCTTAATGTGTAAGTTTGGAAACTTGTTTTTGTATGACCTTTACAAATTTCTTTGTTAGTTCATAATGTGCACTTGTCGTTATGTTTTAAATGCCTATTATTTAATAATATTTATAATTAAAACTTAATAACATATTAGTATAGTTGTAAATCTTAGGTCGAACACAAAGAGATTGATTAATCTATCATAAAAAAGAAATTTAGTTTATATATAGAGTGTTAAAGTTAGATTTTTGTGTTTTAATTAATTTTATTATTTTATTTTATTTTGTTAACTTCAGAATAAAGATAAGATATATTATTAATTATGGAGGTCTAAAGTTAAAATAATTAGCATAATTTTAGATTTTTTAAAAATAGAAAAAATATTTTGCTTGCTTGTAAGCCAACATTCGGCAACTGACCCAGAGGGGTGCTGCAGTTTGAGTGGGTAGACCCAAATCGGGGGAGCCATGAGCTAGGCTCGAGTGACAAAGGACTCACTCTGCGCACGTGTGCGTTAGTCCCCTACCACGTCCCGGTGGGCCAACTGGTCGTGGAGCAAGGAGCATTGTACACATGTGTGTGCATGAGGGTGTTCATAGAGTCACATCATCAAATAAGCCAGATTTTGCGGCTGGTGAACTACCACGATACCAAATGCATAAAGTAATCCAACAACAGTTCACGAATCCAACAGTGCTCAGCATGCATGTGGCCTTAAATGATGATCTAACGACTAAGGAGGTGCGATAGTACCAAGGACTTAAGTTCTCGATCGACAACATTTTATGGCAGGTTGATCCTATGTTGCTCAACGTGCTATATGACAAAGCACATTTGATCTAGTGGCTCACGAAGCACCACAATATTGGGAACTTAAGTTCTCACACATATCATCATTAGAGATATAAAGACAATAATCAATTATTATATGATAAAATCACACTGAAAATTTATTACAACTAGTTTTCATCAAAATATTAATGACACATGTTAAGAATGCTATGATATTCTTTAAGAACATATCTCCTTACAATTTGATCATTACCCAAGTAATATAAATTATGATCATGACAAAAATAATTTTTAATCTTAGAAAAAAGATGATTTTTTCTATTCTTATCTCACCATTCTAGAAGTTTTTTGGAAACTAGAAAATTGACAATATGTGCATACCATGGTGATGGTTGACGTTGAGCTGCTATCAATTGTTCATCTAGAAATGCATCTTGTAAAGGTGTTACATTTATTTTGGTATCACTCAATCTAGAAATGTCTCCCTAAGATGATTGGTGTATTATAAAACTATTTATTAAAATCTATTTCCAGCACTACAAAATCAACTGAAAATTTACACTCTTTAACTGTCACTATCACATTTTCTAAAATACCTTTAGGATGTTTGGTGTGCACTTGTCATTGTATTTGAATGGACACTATCTAATAATATTTATAACTAAGGCTTAATAAAATATTAGTATAGAAGTAAGTCTTAGGTCGAACACAAGGAGATTGATTAATCTGTCGTGAAAGTTAATTTAGTTTATATATAAAATGATTTTAATATTTCATTAATATTTTATGGGAATAATAAAATAAAAGGGTGAGGTGAGAAGAATAAAAGAAGAGAAGTAGAGAAAAAGGAGGAAAAAATAGAAGAGAGAGAGAGAAGAGAGAGCTTCACCAAAGAGAAGGGATGAGATCTCTTGCAAAAGGGAGAGAAAAAAAGAGAAAGAGAGAGCTCTCATGAGAGAGAGAAGGGATGAGATCTCTTGCACAAGGAAGAGAAAAAGATAAGACGAAAATGAAGAAAGTGAGAAATACGGTCAACCAATTTTCTCAAACAAATCTGTGCTCGAGGATCCACACACATGACACGAGGTCAGCCGTGAATATCTCCAACTTATTTTAACCATTGAACACTCATTAATTAGTCTTTAATCTCAATGATTTCACATTTGAAAATAGAAAAATACTCGTTATTTGCAGAACACTAAGAATGTAAATACATCAAAATTTGACTGCAAAAATCAATAGAAAACAAGTTGAAAATGATCTTAACTTGATCTCATACGAGTTTTGGAGGATTTAGAAGAGAGGAAGAGCAAAGATCATTCATCAAGTTTTGAATTAGTTCAATCAAAACTTGCATGAAATGGAAAGAATTTATCGTAAAATGTAAATAAATGACAAAAGTAGGTAAGTAAATACTGAAAATAGGAAATAAATTATTGTCAAAGTATAAACTGCTTTCTAGACAATTGAAGATACTAGTGTGGCGGCTTGGTTTTATCTAGTCGTGCCACACCACGTCGGAAGTCACAAAAGTATCATCTGGAACTGTTGTGCCACTTGCTGGAGAGATCCGCCAAAAGAGGGGTCGACCACATTGTCATCGTCGTCTAGGAGAAAAAGGGAAGAGCTGACCACTCATTGGAGGCCTTGAGTGTAGTTGAGGGAGGAAGAAGCTTGCCAATCGCTAGAGACGTTGATCGTGCAAAAGGAGGGAAGAACGAATTGTCGTATTCGTGACTATCATTAGGATTTTAAAGATAATCGATAACATCTATTTTACCAGACAATAATTAATTATTGTCTTTATATCTCTAACGGTGATATGTGTGAGAACTTAAGTTCTCAGTATCGTGGCACTTCAGGAGTCATTGGATTAGATGAGCTTGGTATTTCAGAGAAGCTTCAGGCTTAACTAATTCTCCCGACTATGGTGTTTTTGAAAGCATAGCTTGTATATATGCTTACAAAGGCTCTCCATGATCCTTTGCTAGATTCCACTGCAAGCTCAAAGCTTTCGATCTCTATGTTTCAGTTTGAGTGAGTTTGTAGATATATATATATATATATATATATATATATATATATATTTCATTTATATCTTTATGAGCCTAACCCACTTTTTTTTCTCTCATCACCCTTATATGTATAGGGCTCTTACTCTATTTTCAAAATTATTATATTATTTTATGTCTACACAATTCATAAATTCCTCTCTTCTTATCATTGTCATACAATTCAAAAGAGGTTTGATTTCTAAATTTTTTACTTCAATTCTTATAAAAGTTATAAATCTTATTAGGAGTTTTCTCTATAAAAACTACACATAAAAAATCAATCATATTTCTATATTGTCCTAATACTTCATCATAAAAAATTATATTAATTACCACTTAAGTATAGCATGATGAGAACACTAAGTAAATCTTTGAATTCTTCTCATACCTCATATTAAGTTTCTTCTAGTTTTTGAGAAATATTCTCTATATGTTTTCTCATATTTTGAGTTTGTTTAAGAGAGATTTTTTTTAAAGAAAGACTTATTCTATATCTTTCAAACTAATTAATTCTCTATCTAATGTGGATAGCCAATAATTAATCTTGTCCTTATGTGTATGAGAAAATAATTTTATCTTAATAGTTTTCGATGTAGCTTGAGAGAAATTTACTAAATCATAAATCATATGAAGTTTTTTCTAAATGATGATGTGATTCTTCTAAAAGTAATTCATGAAAATTATGGAGTATTTAGAAAATTCTTGAATCGATTTTGAATTTAACCGTGAGTGCTAATGGGACTCTAATATTAAATGATCATTGATATGAAATAGAAATCTATTAATTTTATAATAATTTAAAACTAAATCTTTTGTTACAAATACTTTATTTTACTATAAAATTAAGGAGAAATTATAAAAATATCTCTTATTAAAATTATGAAGGAAAAGTGACTCGGATTTTTAAACCTATAGTTTCTATTAGAATTAGAGAATAAATACCAAATTTGAAGCAAAATTATATTAAAGATAAGCTCAACAATTCATCTAAGTTCCTTAATGCCTACAAGTCATCATTACTGCTGTCAATCTTACTACTGATCTAATTATCGGCCGTTAAACATAACCATGCCTTTAATGGGTAACAATAATCCCCACCAACCAAGCTCTGCTCGCATTGAGGAATAATGAATGCTGGGGAAGGGGCAGTAAAGGGCGGACAGTGGGGGGGCGGTGGGGGAGAGGAGGGGGGCGCAGCAGCTGGTCTGGACATCCCACCGTCCACTGATCCCGCTTACCCACTACCGACCGACGGCGAAATCTTAACAAACGGGCACACCCGGCCATATCTTCTAGTCACCAGCCCACAACCTACTAGATGCGCGTCACTTTCCTAAGAGAAAAGGAAGATAAAGCGGGCAAGTTATTTGCATATATCTATACATATTTATATGTCTGCATATCTCTTTGAAGCCTCGTCGCCTTTCCTCCTACGTCGTCGCCCTTTCCTCGCGGCGGCTGGATTCACAATCTGGCAAGGAAGGGTCCTAGGGGGAACGGCCTAGCGCGAACGTAGCAAACATCGTGTGTGAGGGAAGGGGGAGTCGGAGAAACAGATGTCGCCTTGTCTGACGATAATTTACGGCCCCTACCGTATTCGAATGTCGGCACACCGGCAGGCAGGACAGAAGAGGTCGGGTAAGATCGAGGGCCTCTCCCCTCTTCACCGCTATCTACAATACGGCTTTATACTAGACGCGCGCTACCCGCCACCTTCGGGGCAGGTAAGCGCCGCCACCGCGGCGGCGAGTTGGTCGCATGGGGAGGGGTGGGCCGGGGGGGGGGGGGGGGGGGGGGGGGGGGGGGGGGGGGGGGGGGGGGGGGGAGGGGACCGGGGGAGAGGGGAAGAGGATCAGTGGGCATTCCGTCGAGCACCTTAAGGCCGCCCGCCGCTGTCATTCCCGGAAGAGGACGCTGTTGGCGATCTCCATCAGTGGCCCGAGGCAGGCCGGCGAGAACTTACGGGCGAAGAGATACGAGTGGGTGCCGTTTGACCGGCGCAGCTCCCCGACGAGGTCCGCCGTCACCTCCGCGGGGCCGTAGGTGTGCGGGTGACCACCGACGCTGCCGGTCCAGTTCACCCGCGTGAGGGTGTAGCCGCTGCAGCCCGCCGGGTCCTGCGTCGAGAGAAGGGTGGGGAAATAGTGTTCCTCCGGGTAGCAGGAGTTCTCCCTGGACTTGAGGCACGGCCTCCTGAATTTGTTCCACAGCCGGCGGTCGCGCACCACCAGCAGGGCGTGCCTCCGCGTCAGGACGAAGAACTGGGAGCCCACCCGGAACTGGTCGAAGGGGACTTCGGGGAGCATGACGTCGTCCCCTCGGGCGACGTATCGGCTCCAGAGCTCCGGCTCCCCAGCGAGGATCTCGATGAAGCTGCGGTACCGGGGACCGGCCTCGAAGAGGGCATTGTAGACGAAGCGGAAGGAATGGAGGGGAACACAGTACTGGGAGACAAGGGCGAAGAAGGCGTTGGCGGGATCGTCGAGGAGCGCAGCAGCGAGGAGGCGGCGGGCGGCGGAAATGAGGGTGGGGGACGCGCGCTGGGTGGGCTTGGCGGGGACGAAACGATCGCGGAAGATGCTGCGGGGAGGCGCGACGGAGACGGTGGGATCGGCGTGGACGTAGATATTGAAGAGGCCAGCGTGCCCGCGGAAGAAGCGCTCCCAGAGAGGGGCGAAGAAAAGGTCGGAATTGGTGAGAAAGAGGAAGGCCACCTTGGGCGGGGAAGAGAGGCGGACACGCAGGCCGCGGGAGGAGGCGACGGTGGCGGCGCGGCGGAAGAGAGCGAGGTCGTCGAGCTCGTCGGAGGCGGGAATGGGGGGGAGGGTCTTGGGGGCCAGGATGCGCGGGGCGAGGAGGAACAAGAGAGGCAGAGAGAGGAGGATCAGGAGGGAGGAGAGCACCAGGGGAGACCTGGAGGAGGCGCACCAGGGTGGCGACGCCATGGCCGCGATCGGGCTGCGAGGATCGGCGAGTACGGTGGGGGCTTTGATCGCACGGCGCGGCGAAGGAGCTGCTATATCATCGCCGGGGGAGGGGAAAGAAGAGCAGCAGCACCCAGGAGGCGGCCGGATGGAATCGCCCATCCATTCGTGTTCGCCCCCTCGGCCGACTCCGAGGGGATCGTTTTTATTAAGTTATGATTCTTCTTTTCAAGATGGATGGGCAGCGATCTTCCTTCTCGCCCCCGCCATTCCCGTCGCACTCGAACTTCACCAACTCGGGGGGTTGGTGAGGACGCGAGTCGTCTGCCATGGCCTTCCCTCCCTCGCGCCGATTACGTCGAGCCCACGCCACGAACGAGCGAGCTCATCCGAACCGATCCGATCCCTGGGCAACGGCGGCAGCCGAAAATATCCAGTCTTTGATTGTCGTGGAGGCCCGCCGAGAGGAGGGGTAATAAATTATCGTCCGGCGCAGAATGAACGTGCAACGGACACACGGATGTTGGAAACAGTGCGGAAGCGAGCAGGGGTCCGGGGTCTGCCTTCCCTCACTTTCGGTCTGAGGCAACGGGTAAGACACCTTGAACGGGGGCCTACGTCAGAAGCACGTGAAGGCCTCGACGAAGAAGAAGGAGATGGCGGCTAAGCATAATCGAAGCGAAGTAGGGGAGGGAGAGAGAAATTCACAGACGTTGAATTACTTCAGACAGAAAGCAAGTATCAAGACACATGGCATCACAGCGACATGGGTTTGCAGTGTGGACTAGCCTCCTCACCGCTGCTCGGTAATGACAACCGCCTCCGAGGCTGGGGATTTCGCTGCATGCTCCTCCCTTTTGGGTTGCTCCTCTTGTCGATATGGCTTCCTCTCCCGGAGATTTTCAGGCCAGCTGCTCTATCAACGTCATCCGACGCCATCTTCGATTTCATCAACTCCGATGTCACTGCAGATGTAGCTTTAAAGCCTGCAGATTTGCGGGAGTACGATGAGGAGGATCCGTCAGAATGGGAAGGCCCCAAGCTCTGAGTTCGAACACCCAAGTGTGTGGTCGACATCCGCCGCCTGCCAGCTTGCTTGAGTTGTTGCGTCTTCGTCGACACCATCCCCTCCGTCGGCCCTTCCTCGTCGAGGGTCTTCTCCCCATCTTTCGAGCTTATCTTAAGGAAACGGTTTTCCCAGGGGCGAACAGCCATCCATCTCTCCAGCCAATTATAGCCCCAGTCATCAGTACGCGGTTCGAAACTGGTGGGGGCTGAGTGCCGCCTCAAGCCCGCCTGCCACTGCAAAGTGTTCAGAAGTAACGGGATCACCTCGTATCTGACCTACCGGAGGGGGAGTGGCTCAAGAGCAAACCTCCATATGAGAAACAGATGAAAATTGAGAAGATAAGTGCTGAAGATATGCTTGAAACCCACCGCAGATGTAAGGAATATAGAATTCGATTGGCGGCTTGGTTAAGCACGCCCTATCCAATCCTATCATGGGTTTGAATCACGTTATTTGTCTGATCCATGGGAAGAGTTTGAGTTTGAGTTTGAGTTTGTCTCGGATTTCAGAAGCAAAACCACAAAATTTTTATTCAGATCGGCAATTGAACAGTACTAAAATTACCAGGCCATCTAGCTCAAAATCAATTGATTATGTGCGGCATAGGCTCATGTCCATAATCAGAGATTTTCTTTCGTATTAATAAATCTGGATTTTTCGTGGTGCTTCAGCACATGGTACCGGATTTTTACAAAATCATTAGGGTTTCCCACACAGAGAACATACGTGGACTGCATAAGATCCAAGGGAAACATTTTTCTCTGATACTGTTTCATCGTTCTTAGACCATCCAACTCAGAAACATTTGGTCATCAATGGAGTATGACGAGCTTGCTTTACAATCGCTGGTTTTCGTGGATAGTCATATGGGATTATAAATAATGGCCATATGATACATGCAAAGACATTATGACAAAGTATAATAATGCTCTTCATTCTGCAAACTGCTAGTGTAGTCAAGCCTCAAAGTTGCACGATCCATCCCCCCAAGATAATGAAACTATTGTGTCTGTATACTTCAGACCAGATGCCACTAGGATGGAATAAAGCCAACACAAAATAGACAATGAATCGTTGCGTGGGAACTGATTACAACGCAGAGCAGATATTCATTTCAAATAATGGAAGATTACCAGCTTTTACTGCGCCAACAAGACTTCCAATAGGCAAATAGTTTAGGCGAACGCACAAGCATAAATCAGAGATTGACAACAATTTTTTCCAATTTTAGTCACTAACAGATTAATATCTTATGAAATTACTCAATATATAATCATGTCAGATTGACCGGTAACTGCCAGCAGCAATTCTCACCTGACGAGATGAAGCATATGCTTTCGCTCTTTCTCGCTTAACTGCAGCTTCTTGCCTCTTTAGTAACTTTGCTTGAATGTCTTCCACAGATCCTGTACTGTCACACCAACCTTCCTACATTAAATCGTAAGAGCAATTACTATTAGAAAGGTTTAGCGACGCATTTTCTACAGGCTTAAAAGAAAATAGCAGATAAAAATACGTCTTCAAGGGGTAGGAATCTTATAATCTGCAGTGGCTTAGATTCAAATGTATTGACCGATGATCACCCCTCTCAGCTTGCAAGCCAGACTCACGCTGAACGAGACGCTGGCAAGCAGCCACGGAAGTTGACTTAAATCAGCAAATATAAAAAGGGTCAACCCCAGGTTCTGGAATGTTATGTGATGAATGAAAGAGGAATTCGAAGAAATTTCGATGTTTACAAAAAGCTTCCAAGGAAAATCTAGGAGAATTCCCAGAAATCACTGAACCATCAAAAAAAATCTGTGAGTTCGAAACATATAAGTGGCAGTAGGCATCAACAGTGAGACAGCCAAGATGTTTCCTTCTTTAACCTCACGCCCTTGTCGTCAGAAGCATAATAAGAGACAAATACGAATAAAGGCAGTCGTAGGAAGTTAATGTTTCTGACAACTTATAACTGCGTGTCATTGATGCAGAATTTTGTACCTCAATCTCTTTCACATCAGCGTCGTTCACGGTTTGTGGCTCATTATTCTGCTGTCCTAACTGATTCACCAACGTCGTCCTTACTCGTCCTGCCCTAACACGGGCTTGAACTCTGACCAAGGCTTGCATGCAGCGAAGTGTTATTGCCGATTGCTTTCTCACAGCATGCCCTCTAACAAGGGCCTGAAGCCTTACCAGCCCTTTCAAGGCACGCAATGCTCGCCTAGCCTGACAGGACAAGATAAGACAAGCTGAGTATCATCGCATGCTTAGTTTTGTCATATAATCGGCTGATAAATGGATTATGTCAATAACACATGGTGATGGACGCTTGTCCCTTCATTGCTAATCCTTTTTGGGAAAGCCTAAAAGACTCAGGATCTAAAATAGGCCATATCACACATAATACTACAGTTAGTAATGGTCATATCACAAGTGAATGATTACTCACGATAAATAAATAATATTCAGAATAAAAGGTAACACATTGTCCATGTTGTATCTTATTTATTATATTATTATATGTATTTCAAATTTTGTGTAATATTAACACATTGTCCATATGCTTATTTATTGTATAAATATAGTTACTTTTGATTTAGATAATGGTCCACAAAAATAATGTCGGCTAAATATGCACAAAGTTACGGAAGGCTAAAATCACATGACATGCATTCTTACCAGAAATGCACGAAAAGCTGTTTGGATTACTGTTGTAGCCCATTCTTCTTTCTTATCTTGCTCAGACAGACTGGAAACCTCGATAGGAAGTGTAGTAGTTCCGGCAATGCCATCAAACACAGCAGAGCCTTCTGCAGTTGGCCCTCGCCCCAAAATAGTGATGCCACTGTCGACAGATCTCTCCTTCTGGCATGCAAACTAAGCTATAAGCCAAGGGAGATCCTTTGAGGAGGTGATTAATCTATGGTAGAACATTGAATATCGTGGGAGATGCAGCTTATGAACTGAGGCCATTTAGATATGAAAGTCCAACTTATAGGAAACATGCAAAATGAGAGCAAAATAACGTCCATCAATTCTATGGAATATGCATTGGAACACAGAAGAAGACAGATTCAGAGAAATAGGCAACACATAGAATTAAACAGAAAATGATCCGGACATGAACTGCAGTCAAAAGGAGCAAGGGATATTACTTTTCCACCAAAATCAACAATATTCTGTAACAGACAAGTTGATCATCAATTATGCAAAAGCATCTACAATATTCTAGAACATTCAAGTCAGCGGCTCACAACATGCGCACTTGGCAAAGATATCCACGCTTTGTTAAACAGAAAAACACCACCAAAATGCCCTCTTGAGTTTCCAAGAGCAAAAGGCTACTAACCTTTTAAGTTCAGTAGATATGAAGCCAAGGACCAATCAGAAATTTGAAGAATAGCCAACTAACAAGCTAGTTTTGCAACAAAATTTTGAGAGAGAAAAGAGGGCAGGACTAAGATAATGGCATAATAGGAATACCCACGAATAACTTCAGTCCAGTAAAAAGAGTGCATACAGTTCAAGAATAAATACTACGAAAGAATATTCTCATCATTTACGGGAAAAAATGCATGTAAAGAAGTGCTACCCACATTCTCATCCTTCTTCAAAGTTTTCGGCACTTGTTGCTTCTTTGATCCCAACAAGACTTTAAGCCATCTTCCTGAGATACCCATTCTAGCGTCACTTGAGCTCCGATTTGCCAACAATCCTGCCATAATATCTTACCACTGATCATCCCATTATAGCCCGTTTCTTCTGTACAATAAATAGTTTAGAAGAAAAGGGGGTACATGCGGAGTAATCGTCCGTGACAACTAGGAATTCTTCACGAGGAGATAAAACAGGGCAATTGTGTAGGCAAAACAGGCATGGTCGAGTCCATATTACACTATGCATCGATGTATGTCAATCATAAGCATCTTTGGCTCAGATTAAATCAAGCTTTTGCCCTCGTCCGCTGAAGAAATATTTCAAAATATCGAGGCGGGGAAGAATGCTGGCAGTTTGGACGACACATTTAAGTTTTTCATGCTAAGCCTCCATAAAATTAGCTCGTCCCCCTAGAGGCCATGGTATGCTATCATTCATGTACTCAACAAGAATCATCCTGGAAAGATGGTTTCTGACACGTTTTTCATCAAACATATTTCCAAAACGAACCTGACGAGGAAGCGGATACCCAGGACTCCAGCATGCGGGAACCACCATCAAATCATAAACAGATGCCAGGAGCAAGTCATAATCAGGTCTTGTTCGTCACATGAATAGTAACTTTGAAAGTGAGCAGCACTTGTTTTATCACATTTATACAGACATGGATGTCATGAATGTGCTGCGAGAGGTGAAACGGAAGTTATGGGGAGCTGAATCCATCATCCTATCGACGTTTAAAATTAGCTGTATCATTTACGGCCACTGAACAACACAGATGTATTTGGTTAGCACCACTGCCTCTAGAAATCATGGGTTCACTACTTCCACGAGCATTCTCTTCCCAGATGTTTAAAATTAGCTGTATCTATTTGGTTAGCACCGCTGCACGGCCAGAAGTTTTATAGATGAGCAAGAAAAACAAGAAGCACGGCACCACAACATGGTGGAGTATATTTGCTCTGCCACGAAGAAAGAAAGTCACCCATAGGTATCACCATGATTTCTACCGAAAGTGCCCTAGCCAGTTTTCAGACGGCAGCCTCAGGCATGAGCCAAGATCTAGAAGAATCAAGAAAAATATACTTTGATTTCTACATGATTCCAAAACATGACAACAAACGATGACAAATTCACTTAGTGGGCATTTGGTGTCCTGATCTCAGCATTGATGGACAAAATTTCCCTTTGAAAGGAAAAATTCATTTGTGGCGGTGAGTATCCTGATGTAGGCATTGTAGTTTAGTCCTTCTAGAAGGAATAAACTACAATGCCAAAGCATAGCCCAGTTCATATATGGCATAAAAAAGTTCTATACTTCGCATTCTTGAAAACTCTGTCAGATTTCAGCGCAACAAGATGCCACCAGAAGGCATCATAATTATCGTTGCGAAATGATTTGCGGCTCAAATGAAGCAATCGTATAGCGAACTCGTCTGGAAGAGCATTGTACATCAGCGAGCCCCAAACTCCATTCAGAGATGGAAGGAAGCAAGCCCGGTTGGTGTAAGCTAAAGAAGAATTGAAAGGCGAGCCTCATGGGCTAAGAAGACGGAGAATTTTAAGCAAAAAGAGGGTAATGAAGCAGATAATGGGGGATTGACAGATGGATTACCATGGCAGATGAACACAGTCAGTTCAGTACGAGGAGGAGCATCATCATCGTAAGATCGAAGGAGAGGAAGGCGAGGAAGGCGAGGAAGGCGAGGAAGGATGGAAGAAAAAAAGATGGCGACGGCTTTCTCCTGGGATCGACTGCCCATGGGCGGGTTTAGATCCGAATTCGTAAAAGCATTGCACAGACAGATTGAGAGAGAGAGAGAGAGAGAGAGATGTTAACGCACCTTAGACAGTTTGAGGAGCAGACAGATTGAGATGTAGCTACGACCTCACCTTAGACACTTTGGGCAGAGCACATAGGCATATTCCGGTGGCTATATCCTTCCTCCACGGCCTCCGGTTTTCCCTCGCACTCGCGAGGCAACGACTGAAGCCTATGGATGAGAAGAAACAGAGGTGAAAAGGAAGACGTGAAATCCAAGAGCAGAGCGGCGGAAAGAGCGATCGCGCGAAAAGTGGGAGTCGACGAGAGGGCGGATGGGGGCGCGGCGTGGAAATTGATTCCTCCGCCGCCGCAGAAACATGGAGGCGGAAACCGATTCCTTAAACCGGCTACTTACAATGACTGGCCCAGGAAGAGGGAGGGGGCGGGCGGGCAGAAGCGGCGGTGCGCACCCACAGGATGGAGGCCAGACGGTCGGGGGAAGCTAATCTCGTTTAAGAATGCGAGTAGAGAACATAGGCTGAGGCAGTTGCCGGTGGCCTAGCCATAGCCCCCGGCGAAAGAGGAGCGGAGCGAGATTGCGAGAGGAAGAGGAGGTGGCTCTCCTCGCTCCCTCGTGTTACGGTATACAGGCATGCCACTCTGGGCAGGGGTCGGTCTGCGATGCTGTCGCTGGGGTACACAGACAGGCGAAGACAAGGGGCGGCTGCCCTTTCTGCAGCGTCACCCGGGAGAAAGGGCCCATCTTCAGGGCCCCCGCCGCCCGCGGCTGGTCTTTTTGCCCGTTGGCTGCGAGCAGTGCATATGGGTAGGAAATAATATCACACGATCCCACGCGGAGGAAGACGAACAGATTAGATAACTCATTACCTGGTAATTTAGAAAGACAAAACTGGTGCAAGGAGCCGGAGGATAAGATTGTTCGTCGTCTCACCGATCAGCCGACATAATTTTAAACAGGATTCCGAATTAAATTTCCGGCTGTGAGAGAATCCTCCGTCGGAGGTCGCATCTGAGCTCGGGCAGCCCCCGTTCGTTGCCCCATCGTCTCCCCTGCCCCCTTGCGACCATGTACGGGTCGCCGGTCCGGCGCGGTTATCCATCCATCCGCTCCGCCGCTCCTTGCGACCATGTAGGGGTCGTTGCCCCATCGGCTGATGGGGGGAAGGGGAGGAGAATTATATAATAAGCCGCGGAGGGAGGACGCACCCGGAGGATGGGACAGCGACCGGATGGGTTTCCGTGAGAAGACTGCGCCGCTCGCATCCACGGATACAGAGGAAGAGCATGCTGTGTCCAGATAGTGATGGCGTTATATATGCATAGATACGTGTATATCAATATTATACAGAGAGGCGAGAGAGGGAGGTGGCGCGAGAGGAAGGAGGGGGGGCGCGCGCTGACCCCCTCGCCGAGGGTCGCGGGCCTCCTGTAAGCTTGCTCGATCGCGCGGCCTGATACCGTTGACATTGGCTCTCGGGGGGTCACATCTTAACTCCGACCAAGCGGACGGCCATCCATCAGAAAATGCCAGCTGACCGAACGACCGTCCTCCCCATTGCTCCCCAGACCGGCCGTTGCCCGCCGCCGTCGCCCCCGCCATGAACGCCACAGGGAGCATCGCTATGGATCCCCCGAAGATGAGCGGCTTCGCCTACGGCTTCGGCGTCTCCGCGGGGATCCTCCTCCTCATCACCACCGTCACGCTCGCCTCCTACTTCTGCGCGAGAAACAATAACCCGCCGCCGCCGCCGCCGCCGCCCCCTCCCGGAAGGTGGAACCGGAGCCCGGCTTCGGTGGAGACTACCGACGACCTGGAGGTGGGGATTGACGAGGCTACGCTCGCGACCTATCCGAAGCTGCTCTACTCCCGAAAGGCCAAGGCCCAGGAGGAGTACAAGGGCACCAACGCGTCCTGCTGCTCCATATGCCTGGCCGATTACAAGGACGGCGACGTGCTGCGTCTCCTGCCCGACTGCAACCACCTCTTCCACCTCAAGTGCGTAGACCCATGGCTCCGGCAGCACCCCACATGCCCCGTCTGCCGCGCATCCCCTCTTCCCAGCCCCCTCGCCGAGGTGGTTCCCCTCTCGCGACTGCCCTGACCAGAGAGGCGCTTCCTCAGGAGGAGGAAGAGGACGAGGAGACAAGTTTTTATTTCCCCTTAGACCGAAGAAAGAACTTGGGGGCGCCTGCGGAGATCACCGGCGGAGGTAGGTCACCATTGTTGTCTGCCTCTTCCCTGTCCTCTCCTCTCCTCTCCTCGGCGAATCTCTGCTCCAGGGGGATCGTATCCGTCCACAGTATGTAAATCATGCGATGGATCAATGGAGAGCTTTTATCGTTTTCTCATCGAGCAATAACATTCTGGGTGGAGAGTCGTCGCGAATGAAGAGGCTTCTATCAGCAGCCCAGCTTATCGAAAGCAACATCGCTCATCCTATCTCCCGGGAAAAGGAGAGAAACACCGAGCTAGAATCCTCCACGCTTTCCTCCATCGGCCTACCCGCCCCATCTCCCTGTTAAATTCTGGTCGTGCTCCACCGAACACCGCGGAGCTGCGAGCCGTCGCACCGCGGCGACCGACTAGTGAAAACGAAGATCTTGCCAATTAAAAACCCAACCAGATGGCCCGTCTGTGGAAACAGGCGTGATCGAAGGGGAAAGGGATCGGTTCCCCAACCGAAGTCAACCCTGTCAACAGAAACGCCCCAGAGATCAACAAAGTAGGACCAGGTGACCCCGGAGGATGCTTCGGAAACATCCTCCGTCGAAAGGAGACGGATTTTGATCTCCAGATGTTGAGAAACAGACCGTGGGAAAACTCGTGCTTGTTTTATAGCTGCAGCGACAAGGCATTTGAACTCGTGGGTACCAGCTCTGGGAATCGAGGATTCTGCGGTGCTCTGGCAGTGCCCTGGAAGGATTACCCGTCGGATTTAGAGTGCTCAGATGCGGCTCCGTTTCAAATAGGGTGCTAGTTCCAGAATAGCGAGGACGAGAGGCTGCTAAAGGCTCGTTGGCTGGTTTTTCTTTTGGCTCTTGCGTCGCCCACGTCGAATATCGGACAAATCGGGAGAGCGGAGAAGGCCGAGAGGCGACAGCGGGAGACCGGCGGGGCGGTGGCTGCTGAAGAGAAATGACTCTTGAGGACCCCGCGACGGTGACATCCTTCTCCGGCGACTTCTTGAGGAAGGCGGCCGCCGTTGAAATTCTTCTTCGAAGAGCGTAACTGTGGATGCCTGGAGGGAAAGGGGCGACTGGAATGGGGGCTTGGGAGGGTTCTTCTACATCCTGCGAGCTCAATCAAGAATGCGTCGTACAACATCAGCGCGATCTCTGCCGACGGCTCTTGAGGGACTCTGAGGAGGAGGGGGAGCAGTGCGGTGTTGGAATTGCGACATGGAGCGGAGCTGTCGATGAAGCCAGCAGGCAGAAGGTGCAGCTGGAGCGTGGAGCAGGACTCCGTGAATACAAGTCAACAGGCATGGATCACATCCGCATTCAAGTCAACTCATGCTTGGTCACGAGTAGTTAGGCGCGCAGGAGAGGAAGCCGGCATCTGACAGGATAATGCCGGGACGGGTGGGCCCAGGCCCTCTCACCTGTAGTAGTCGGTCGATCTACCACTGTGCTTCCAAGAACGGCGGCGGCGGTGGTGGGAACGGAACAGTGAGAGATCCACGTTCCCCCGAAAAACTGAACAGAAACGGGAGGCGAAGATGGTCAGAAGAGCGACAAAACTGTGGAGAGAAACATCGTCCTCCTCCCTCTAATGGTCTTCCGACTTCTGGGGGAATCTCTCATCCTTTCTCCCCTGCCACGGGACGGCGAAAGGACCGGGATGGAGGAGGAAGGTCTGAAACTCGTGGGCTCGCGCGGAGATGCCGATTGGCAACAGGGAGAGCGCTGCCGATGCGGGTCGACGGAGATGGAGGTGTAGGAACCGCCGCTCCGCGCCCCTGGACTCCGGATCTTGCACATGTACGAACTTTAACTAATTAAAACGAGAGACGTTCTGTTCACGTTTAATCTCTTTGTGATGGCGGCAACCCCCTTGCCGGGGGCGGCGGCGGTGGCGCCGTCGCTGTACAGACACATGCGTACAGATGGAGCCGCCAGCGTGTCACTGTAAGACACGTGGATACATATGGAGGTGTCGCGGGCGCATTAATTTAATAAGCGCGTCGTATTATTCTTCAGATATTCTCGACTTGTCCCCAAGAGAAACAAGTCTGAAAGCAAGCACTCTCTTTTTTCCTCTCTCTCTCTCACTAACCTTTCTCCCCCTTTCCTGTTCCTTCGCTTTGGGCTTCTCCTCCTCTCCCTCTCTCTCCCCTCCCCAGGCCGCCACACCCCGGGCCCGCTAGACTCTGTTTCTACAGCTCTGAGCGAGAGGGGACCCTCAGACAGGCTCGCTCTTCTGCTGATTGTCGATGGAGGGGGGATTTTCGCCGTCGACCCTGTGTAGGGGGGTCATCCTCGTCGCCGCATGTCTCCTCCTCCTCCTCACGGTCGGCGCTACCCCCGTGCACTACTGCGGTAGGGGACTGCGCTCCCTGCTTCCGTCTTACCGTCCTCCCCCTTCATCTCGCGTCTCCTTCCCTTTCTCTCTCTCTTTCTCTCTAGATCAATTAGTAAATACATCTATCTATCTCTCCCTTTATGGGTCCGTATCGCTATGGGAATGGAAGAAACTGGAGGCCTGATCCCCCCACCGACGGAAGATTGACATCGGGGAAGGAGGTTTCTCTTCGCCTTCTCCGAACTCTCGTTTGAATTTCCATTAAATCCGATTCTCTGGGCAGCCGGTGGTGGCCGTCCTCCTCGGGTGTCAAGAAAAGGGTATTCCGCGCGAGTTTCTCGCGTTTGCCCTGAGGAGAATCAGGCTCTCTCAATACAGCCCTTTCGTCGCTCCTCCTCTCCGAGAATAACCATTCATGCAGAAGGGGGGTCCATGACGGTACCGTGCTGCATGCTTTAGATGATGACCGATGTAGCGAGGTTATCGTAAAGGATTTAAGTAGCTGGTTCTTATGCCATACGCCTTCTCACAAGGGATCCTATCTTTTTTTGTTGCTGTTCCTTTCATTCGGGCTATCTTACGAGCGAATCGGCGATGCTTATACTTCTTGCTTTCTCTCTGCATGTGTCTTCTTTTTTTCCAGATAAGCAAGCTGATTATGCCGTTAAGGTGAAGGGAGTGCAGATCAACCCCAATCCAGTCGTACGGGGCAAGCCGGCGAAGTTCAGCCTCTCGGCAATCACGGGTATTAGCGCAATATTCAAACCATTATTATCACTTTTGTTATCTTCATCTATCAAGCTTCCGAACTTATCCGGCTCCGTATGATGGTCGTTGAACCGGGGGGGGGGGCGGGGGGGTCATCTCATATTGATCTCCGCGCTCTCCTTGGAAGTTGGAAGCTAGTCTTTGCTTCTGTGTAAATAATGGATGAGATCCATGTCTGAACAGGACCAAGCTCATGTAAATAATGAATGCCGTGTAACTTTTTTCTAGGACGAGAATGGGACCAAGCTTATTGTTTAGGAAATGAGCTCAGTTGAGGGGAACAGGGAAAGGTGATGGCTGGGTCCCCGAATGGGATATATTTGGGATTGAGGGGATGACGCAATCAGAACGCTGCAGCGCACTACTGCTCAGGAATAGAAAGAAATCGGTGCATAAATCCTTGTTGGTTAAAGGGACTGGATGAGCGATTGAGAAATCCCATTTGGTCTGCATGTAGAATGATGCAACTTTGGTCAGGAGTGATCGATTTAGTCGGTTCGATCGCTTATGGATTGGCGTTTATGTGCCCGCCTGTTGATTATTTCCTCATAAATGTTCCAGCAGATTAGTAGATTTTTCTCCATAATTCAGAAAGAAATTCCCTTCATAGGTCTGCCATTGAAAGCTCTCCTCTTTGTGATTGAGGATGGTAGTCTCATATACATTGGAATGTTCATCTAATGGTACCCAACAAACATCGATACGCGAGACAAGACATTGTTAATTCCTTCGGAATATCACTTGAATGGCGACTTATTTATTACTTCATTCAATCAGCTAAAAATTACATGGACTAGCCTCAAAAACACGGAAAACTCAAGTTCAGCAGCAGAAAATGTTGCGCTGTTTCAGTCCCTGGAGTAAGTGGGTGGGCCAGTGGAGCTCATGGCAGATTTCCATATCGCTCGCCTATAGTGCAGCCTCGTGTGCTATTTAATCTGTCTGGACAATAATCTCGGTTTGCTGGTGGCCAGCCTGGTTTGCTATACTTTCAAGCTAATTAGTCTTCAAGAATGCACTAGAACCATTGATCTTGTGGGCCAGGCTCATCTATCATTCGATCCCATCAGTAGCTCATATCCATGCTCCTCGGATTGATTTAAACCATTGTAGGCAGCTTTACTTGATGGTCGTGTGTAGGTGCTCCATCTTCCTCTCAGTGAATTGTAATGCAGCATCATCACCTGCCTGTAGCTTTCTTTCCCACCTCGCAATGCTCAATCAGAACGATTGCGTTTTCTCTGGTTCTCACTTCCTCTCGGCGAGAAGAATCTTCCTAGATCTCTGTATCTACGTAGTAGATTATACGCACATGACTATGTTATTCTCCGAGCTTCATATTTCATACGTTTCCCCTTGGGTCAGGAGCGTCAAATCCTCCATCAGTATAGGTGGTGACGTTGCATAGTTTTTGGTTGCTTGAGATGTTTGCTCGCTAGAGTTAGCAGGTCACAGCATCTTGAGGGAACGGGCCCCAAAGGAATATGATAGCAACAGGGAGATGTGGGGGACTTGGTTGAACTGTAAACGAACCACTCTTATGATCTTCCTGGCTGTGGGTGAGTGTGACATGACAGAGGCAAGTCCTGATGGATCGTGGAGGCCAAGAGAAAGGAGGGAAACGGCCATCAAGACTTGCTATTTTGTCATGTGAATGAAACCCTGACTGGGACAGCTGATTGATAGGAAGAGGATGAGGGGCCTCATTGCACCTGCGTCTCACCCTCTCTTTCATCTTGTTCTGGATCCGCATAAGAAAGTCAATTGTTGTTTACATTCCTTTCTCAAATATCATGTATGTCTCTCCTCGGCTGAGCTATCTATTTCAGAGGGTGACCGCATCCACAACATGTCTCTAGATCCTATGACATACCATGGGCCGATGCCAATGACTAGATGGATCTCATCGATCGGAGATCGGTATAGTCACTGCATGCACAGTCTAATATATTGCAACTGCCAAATCTTATGAATGACATAAGGAGGATGCAAAAAGAAAATTTCCTAATGGTACTCCCTACTCTCGGCATAAACTGCACGCAATGCGAATGTTATTAGTAGGTGCAGGGGAAGTCTTCAAGGCCGGAATCTTTACTTTGAGCCGCATTTGACTTCCTAATGCCTCCACATCCCATGTAATGTGATCGGTTGATTGGACTGAGGAAATATCCTCTTTTTCTCTTCTCTAAGATGTGATTCACGACTAAGAAAGTCAACTCAAAAGGTCGTCGAATTATCGAATCTTCCCATCCCAAAGTTCCTTCGTGAACTTTGCCCACCCTGAAAGGAAGTTGATTCTGCCCCTAAGAGCTGATGTCTTTCCAAAAATAGCTTTCTCGCTTGTTGCTTGAATAAAATCTCTAGACCAGATGCTACCAAGTATATTATCCCCGGCTCTACGTCTTTTGCATTACGGAGCTTCCGATCCTCCAAAAGTACTATTTCTTACGAAACTGGGAGTGACTTAGAGTCGAATTTTTCTTGTTGTCTTTATTGATAATGCATCAACCCCCTCAGTTGGCTGGCCTGATGGCTTCTTCCAGTCCGAAAAATTTGGGCATCTCTACTGTCAAGTAACTTGTATTCAGGCCACTGTAGAAACTCTTGATGAAACGAAATCACCCTTTTAGCTCAGTGGTAGAAGTCATCAAGTTGTTAGGACTTTACTTACATAAAGGTGGTTCTAACTGGTGGTGAAATCATGAGTCTGTCTCGCAGATGTTTCCGGTCCTGCAATAAGTTATGATTCCCTGCCAATAAATATGAAGGTTCAACTCTTCAGGTTCACCATAAAGATTGTTTCTTAGAGTAATCTAGCTTCTTGTGCTCATGATCTCTTCCGACTCGGGGTGATTTGTGCTTCCCCCCTCTTCTGACAATAGATATGAGATTTGTATGAGTAGAGTCGTAAATTGTGCTTCATTTTGTAATTGATTTCAATGTATATATAGATTTGAGAAATTTTCAGCTCGAAAGGATGGGACATTTACAGGTTTTCACAGTCATCTTTGGTGAGAAAAAACCAAAATGCTTTGCTGTTGGTGACGACTGTGGACTAGAGATCTGGGTTCCCCAGTTTTTGAGAAGTTGGAGATCCTCTCGATTCTTTCCTTGACTTCGTCTCATGGTTGATGGACCTGTTCTTGTCTCATGTTACAGAGGATGCCATACCCGGCGGGTCGCTGATCATCGACGTGAAGTATTTTGGGGTGCACATCCACCAAGAGACGCATGATCTCTGTGAGGAAACTTCCTGCCCTGTCTCAGGGGGGAACTTCCTGATCTCGCACGATCAGGTCCTCCCGGCGTACACGCCACCGGTAAGACGCGGGCCTCTCTCCATCTTTCTTTGCCTCCGTTCCTGGTTTCCGTGGATGATGATGATAATGATGATGCCCTTCTGGCCCGGACTTCAGAGGTGAGAAGGTGAGAGGTATACGACGCTCTGACGTCTCTGTTTGTGGCTTTCTCCTGGCCAGGGATCGTATACGCTCACCATGAAGCTGTTGGGCCAAGACGAGAGCCAGTTGTCGTGCGTGAGCTTCGACTTCAAGATCAGGGTTGGCTCCCCGGTTGACGACGACTGAAGAGCTGAGCTGAGTTGAGCTGAGAAGGGACTGACTGATCCCCGGGTGGACAACCCGTCCGCCGTCTTGTGTCCTCTATGTTGGTTTGTTGTGTTCTCTCGCTTTGGCCGACTATACCATACCCTGTGCAAATATTTCCGATAAACTACGTTGGCATGCTCGACATTGATCAGGCTGCCGTTTGCTTCCTTAACTTGTTTGCTGTGAACGAGGGATGGGTGCTTCGTCTGCCTACTTGTTCGCCATGTGTCTTCAGGCGGCCGACGAATGTGAGAGAGAGGGTTCTCTTTCTGGAGCGAACCCTCCTTTCAGGGCGATCTGTGATTAGGATTTTGGCAGCTTGTCCGGTTCGTCTGGTTTTTGCAGGAGGAATGAGCCCCGCTTCTAGTTTTGATGAGGAAACTTGCGACCGTTGAGGCGGCTTGATACCTGCCTGCCCCTAACTCACTCTCTTCTCTCTCTCTCTCTCTCTCTCTCATATTTAAATTCTTCATGTTGACACTCACCTCCCTGGCCCACCCGCCTCCGTGGATCCCTAAAATTGAAGCAACACACCCGCCGTCGTCGTCGCGCAGGTAGCCGTTGGGACCTCGACCATTGGCGACGCAAGGAAACCAGGAGAGAGGAAGTGGCGGTGACCTGAGGGCGTGAGGCGGATCTCTAGTTGATCCAGTTCGTGAGAGACGGGAAAGGAAAAGGAGGGTAGGGAGAAGAAGAGGTTCGGAATAGTCAATCCCCGGTATCCTCTGCGTCACCATCTCCGCCGCCGTCGGGTCGCCGTTCCTCGCTGATAGGACGCCTGGAGATGAAAGGGCTGAAGGGGAGAATCCTCAAGAATCTGAAGTCGATCCCGCAGGTGGGCTACATCAGTCCGCCCTCCCGCGTCCTCCAGGCGCTCTCCCCCAATGCGCTGCTCCCATCTCCGTCCCCGCCGGCCCGCCCCTGGACTAGCCGGCGACCTCCGCCGCCCTCCGATGCGGGGAGAAGTTCCGATCTGCTTCCCGTCGGCGCAGCGCGGGGAGACGGGGAGCGGCAACAGGAAGATGACCCTCCCCTCCTCCGCAAAGGCCCTCCTCTGGAGGAACACGACGATCCCATCGCCACCGGCAGGGCGATCAGGGACTTGGAGGACGACGAGGCCGACAGCAGAGAGAACATCACGGCGGCGCGGGTCGGATCGGCGGCAGTGGCAGCAGCGGAGGACAACGGAAAGCCGCTGCTCGGAGCGGTTAGTCACCAGAAGAGACCTCCGGCATCGGGGCAGAGGGATGCATCTTCGCGTTACAGGCGCCCGGATCTGAACTCGGCCAGTCTTTTCGACCCCGATCTCCTGGCGGCATTCGAGCAGGCGGTGATGGAGTACGGCCGCAGCTACCAGGAGTTGCGCCCCAAGGCCGACTCCACCGCCGACCGGCGGTGGGCAGAAGAGGAAAAGGATGACGCAGGAGAAGACGGACCCCCGTGCAAGGTGCCCAGAAGAGTCGTTGGGGGGGATGAGGAGGAGGAGGTGGATCCCCTGGAGGGGTTCGAATGGAGGTGCCCGCCGGGGGGCGGCGACGGCGTGGTGCTGTACACGACGAGCCTGCGGGGGATCAGGAAGACTTTCGAGGACTGCAACAAAGTTCGGGTCTTGCTATGCAGCTTCCGCGTGACATTCGACGAACGAGATGTGTCGATGCACTGGGAGTACAGGGAAGAGCTGCGGCGGACCCTCGGCGGCGGCTGCGGTGCCGTCATCCCTCCGCGGCTGTTCGTGAAGGGGAGGCACATCGGAGGCGCCGAGGAGGTGCTCGGCCTGCACGAGCAGGGAGGGCTACGGGGGCTGCTGTGGGGCCTTCCCGTCGACAGGTCGGGCGGCGCGCCGTGCCGGCGGTGCGGCGGCGTACGGTTCGTGCTCTGCGGGGAGTGCAGCGGCAGCCGCAAGGTGTTCGCGGAGGGCGGCGGCGGGGGCGGGGAGGCGGCGGCGAGGTGCAGCAAGTGCAACGAGAACGGGCTGGTCGTGTGCGCCCTCTGCTGCTCCCGGGGCTCCCCCTCCTGCAACGGTGGAGCGACCGGAAAAGAAGACGAAGGCCTTTCCCTCTGCTTGCCCACCGACCCAACTTCATCCCGCGCCCACCTCTTACCTGCTGAATGAATGCAACCCTGGCCTGGCCCTGGCCTGTCTTGTCGACAGGTAGTGGTGGCCCTCTTTTCTCTTCCCGCCCTACTTCGTCCGCCCATTGACCATCCGAGCATCAACCATAACCTTGATCAAATAAATTCCGGCGGGGTGGAATAATGAATGAATGAATCAGTGTGCAGTTTGCCATGTGCCTCATGCGTGCTCGGGAGACCAGAAAGAGAGGAACTAACCACATCCGTGAAGAGCAGCGATAGAGAGAGAGAGGGGGAGAGAGAGAGAGAGAGAGAGAGAGCCACGCACGAGGGCAAGAAGTGCCAGGCATGCAGACACGGCCGACCTTAGATACAACAACAACGACAACTAATGAAAGGAAGGTAAGGTTAAGGTAATTCACAGTGCCAGTGACATCGTCGTCTCGGCCGTCGCCTACCGGGGAGGAAGAAAGAAGAGCTAACAACGCTAAACAGTAGCGCCACGCAAACAGGACTGACTGACTGACTGACTGGTAACAATTAAAGCGGCGAGAGTGAGTCTCGTGGGTCGATCAGTGAGTGAGAGGAAGTCATTTATTATTCAGTGCGGCGGCCGCCGTTGTCGGTGGCGTTATCCTCCGCCGCATGGGAGGCCTCCCCTGTTACTTGGGGTTCCACCGGGCCCTTGGTGTCCCCGCCCGCTGCCGGCTCGCCGTTCTCACGGCTTTCTTCTTCCTCATGGGGCTGGCCCTCCTTGGGCTCCTTCGGGGGCTGGGTGGTGCCTTCCACTTTGGGGTGCTCCTCTTCATCCGCAGCAGTAGAAGCAGGAGCAGTAGCTTCCTTGTCCTTCTCCGGGTTCTCAATCCGCCCTTCTCCGGCCTCGTCTAACCCATTCTCCACCCTTTTCACGGCCGCGGCCTTTTCTACCTCAGCTGCTGCGGCTGCTGCAGCGCCCTCCTCTGCGTCTGCTGGAGCTTTGCCGTCCTCTTCTCTTCCTGCGGCTAATTTCATCTCCGAATCGCCATCCTCTTCCTTGGCTTCTTCTGCCGGGGGGGCCTCCTCGCCTTTCTTTGTCCCGGATTTCCTTCCTCTCTTCTTCGGTGGTTCTTCCTCTGGAGTCTCCGCACCCTTTGACCTCTCACTGATTCTCGCAGAACGCCTCGGCGTATCACCTGCCCCAAATGGAAAGTCAAAACGTTGACAACCATGAAAACACGTGTGTGAACGTCCCATTCCCCCTCTTCTCCTTCTTCTAATCATCACTACTAAGACTACTAACATTGCCGTCTGAGGGGGGCAATTCGACTAACCAGTGCTCCAATCGAAGGAGGATGAGGAAGGGCCCCCAGGGTGGGACTTGAGATAGGCGTCCAGTTGCCTCTTGTTCTTGATTTCCTCACCAGTCGGTGCAATGAAGACGATCTCGTTTCGTCTTGGGCTTCCCCCCTTCTTTGGAATGAACTGCGAGCAAGATGAAGCAACACCAGCATTACTTACACAAGGGCCCCGGATGAGAAGATAGACCCGAGTTCGCGTCAGCTGGGGGAGACGATCTGTGCTGACCAAACACATTGGGTTTCAGTACCGGAATTCTAAACAGGCCCAAGATCAAGGCTACGAGGAGGAATATGATAATTTTTTTTAATAATAACAAAAAAAAATGCACGTACGAACCTCAGACTGCTGCACACATTTCTTAATCAAAAAGTATATCGTCACACCGCCCAAAGAATAGTACAAGGATAGAGCAATACCCCAGCTGAAGAGCAATGAAATGAAATTGCGCTTAAACCTTACATGGAACTTGCAGTGGTGATCGATCATGTTCTGTCTGGGACTTTCACTCGTCAAATGCGGGGACCAAATGTAAGGATAAAAAAGATTTAAACACGTACATCATCATTAAATCCAGACGGAAAAAACGAGGCGTTATTATATCATGCAACTGGTGGGGAGACAAGTTGCAAGCAATGCCGGCGATTGTGTAAGTTGGGGAGTTAGGCCAACAGATGGAGGAGGGTTCATACACATAATGACTCCTGAGGAGGACCATGTCACCACCTTACCAGAAGATGCGTCTAAAAACAGAGGCTTCGAAAAGTCAATTGTAATTTGCCACTATCATCTTCTCATTAATCAGGAAATGCCAACAAGTGCGGGGCCATTTGGCAAGCCTAACCTCCTCCCATATGACTATTTTAGATGATTTGTTGTCAATAAAGGACATTAGGTAGCAGCACACACTTCAGCTACTCCACACCCGATATGTTACATCAGATTTCTTTCCCATTATGTAGGACAGCCCACACCATATTTCTCAACTCTAGTTTCCTTTTTGCGATATTAAAAAAAAAAAAAAAAAAAACTCATGAGGGCGTTCAAGGGCAGCCACCGGGGGGATCTTGCGTCAACTCAAACCGGACCAACCAGTCATGATTTAGGGCATGGTCGAGTCCGATTCCCCATTGTGCCACATGGCAGCCGGGGGAGGGCTGCACAAATAATCCATGAGGAACTGAGGTGGGTGTACCTCTGAGGTTTGATCCCATGACCTTGAGATCAAACTAGGCCTGGGCAGTGAAAAGCCAATCCAGACGTGTGCTGCCGAGGTTTTGAGTTTTACCGACTTGACATGCTCACATTCCTCCAAAAATTTACCCTGTAAAATGCTCTAACTATGCATCAATCAGTGAAAAAAGACCCGACTTTCACACAAGCCACACCAAATTAGAAAACCGTTAAAAACGATGACTACACCATAGCCTCTCCCAAGTTCCAACATTATTCAACATTGTGAACATTAATATTTTACATAAACATTAGCAATGACTGCCATATCCTCCAAGGCTGATTTAGCAACCTGGCCAGTGAAATAGGCTCATATAGTGAAAGTCCCACCTGTATAAGACGAGGAACTCCTTTTTCTAGCACCATAATTGATGTCGTAGCCATGCATCTCCCTTGCAGATTTAGTTTTAAAAAATAATCTGTTTTTTTATTCTGCTCTAAGGGATCAGATTTTTTCCATGATAACAGTCCCTTTCTTGCCACGGAATCCACAAGTTTACTTTTTATTCCATAACATGAGAATATCACTACTCTTGATTGCACAGATTTTGGAGCCCACCCGTGTAAACACAGTATCAGCTTCTATTTCTTTCAGCATTTTCAGTGTTCTTGAGATTCCTGGGGTTCCTGACGAGTGTCATCATAAGACAATAATTGCAATGATCCAAACGCAATTTAAAGACTGGATCCAATGATTTCTCATGGAACCCCGCGGCCCTGATCTGAACCTCAGTTCTAACCGCCAATAATCAAATTCACCAGTACCACGAACAGTCTCGAAATTAATATTTTCGCTAATTGAGCCAGGATACCAAAATGAAAGTTTACGGTTAGGCACAAGCGGATTCAATTCACCAAAGCGGGATAATATTAGTTGAGCGTGCATGTGTATCTCTTCTACATCAACACAGCAACAGCCAGCTAGATCTCCTAATAGGAACAAGAAACAGTTCTACCTGGCAGAACACTCAGTGACCATAACATGGAACAAGTACAGCAAAGTAACGGCAGTGAAACGTTAATCATGGCTTGTGGTGGGCTCCTAATGTGAGACCCCAAATAGAATCTACTCCACAAGAGACAACCTCATTTTCTGACTAATGCCATAACCTAGGAAACCTTGTTAATTCAACAGATCTGACCAGCCCTACTTGGGTAGGTGTTCACTAGTTCAACTTATAATTTCCTCACATTGTCCTCTTTCCACGCTAATCATTCATGACGTAGCTCAACCCGAGTATATGACCAGTAATCACCATCAAGTGGTCAGGTTGACGGTGACAATTAGAGCTCTACAACTTCCAATAGAAACATCTTACAACCAGTTTAAAGATCTAATTGAATAAAGGATATAACTGCTTCAACTTAATCAAATATGTAAATCAGTGACCTTTAATTTTCTGAGTCCGTCAACTCCTACATGAACAATTTTCTTAGAAATGCTTTGAAATAATTTCTTAGCTCTAAGACAAAATAGAATCCTTTACCGCTGTCCAACCTCCCTTTTCTCAGAAGAAGGATAGGTTGAAATAACCACTGAAAATACAAGCGGAAATCCTCGACACCTCTCTAAAGAGAAACCATAAACAAGCAAACTTATTCATCAACTTGGCATAAAGAATTAAACGAAGTACATTAAGTTACAACCTTTACTTCCGCGCCACTCGCATTCCAAAACAACCTCCATTCAGAATCTCGTCACTACTTCCCTCTTTTTCTTCCCCAAGTAACCATTCAGGCTAGATGTCTTCTCTAGCCTTTATGCACTGTCATAAACAGTGTTTTTCTCAAGCTGATCACTGCCAGTGTGAGGGATGGTCGGGTCCTATTTCAACTCAGCCATGGCTTCAGTTCTTTTTTTTTGGCCGCACCAACCCTTGTTTGGCCTAGGCTTCTTAGAAAGGTGGAGTCTGCCTCTATTACATCGTCTCGTGACCAGCAGTGGCATTTTATAAGACATTGACGTAGCAATTTTTTCTGCCTGATACTGTGTTCAGCATCATTTGATGGAATCTGTCCTGAGATCTCCATAACATCATAGTTCTCTTTAATAAACTGATATGGGGGTAAGGGATGGCGCAGCATTATTCACAACAACAAGGAAGAAGGCTTTTTCATGCTGTTCCATTCTTAGAAAAATCTTCCCCCAATTAGTGCGAGTAATAGAGGAATGCCAATCAGTCAAACACAAGAACCATACGCTAGAGCACACAGACTAACCTCTTTGGTCCTGAAATACCACAATGCAGAAGCATGATAGTACAACAAGCACAATTCGTTCTTCTTGGTCAACTGTCTGGCATATTTTTGATCAGCAGATCTTCTATCACAAAGTGAATGGATCAAATTAGTTTCATAGTCACGGCTACATATTACAGTTGATGAATATTTCTCTTGGAGATACTGGAAAATGATACATCATACAGGTTGTATCATAAGTATTAGAACACAAGAATGTGAGACAAAAGTTGATAAAGACCCCCAGCCTTCATTGCACAGATCTCATGGGAGATATCTCATAGGGAATGGCATCGACATATAATAGAAGATGAGGATTTTTTCTGATGCAAGAAATTAGGTAAGCGTATAAGTTTAAAATGCCACAAAAGTTCAAGTGTTATGTGATTGCGGTGCAGGACCTGCACATCGATATGCCAAAGGGATATAAGTGGTTGGTTTCAAAGGATAGGAACCCTGAGGGCTAAGAGTTAGAAAAACTGAATGCATAGCTCATTCAGCCTCATTATGGAAAAAACAAAAACGACAACACTGACTCTGAGGTCATTGTATAAAAAGATGAAAAGAAAATCTTCCATCCTAAACAGTTGTCATCGCTAAGATCATTAAAGATAAACGAAATTATCAAATAACATACATCATTATTTCATTGGCAAAACACCTGATCGTCGCAGATGATTATTCATAATCATCTTACTAGACCCAAACACAGGTGATTGCGTCCCAACCATACCAGGCCATGAGCCTGCAGTAATGCACAAAGTAATTAAACAAAGACAACTAGGACATGGTTGAAATTGGTCATAGATAAGCCAAATTACCATCAAAATTCAGTGGACCTCTCCACCTTATATTTTTGGACACAGTCCACGCAAAAACAATTCTCGACCCTATCGTAAGCATTATAAGTCATGGCATAATCAGTGTTCACATTGATATGCGAGATCATGTCTGCCGAATTGACATCATGGATGACAGCCTCAGCAGAAACTGACCTCAGATATTAAACTTTGAAGAACACTGGATACTTTAGATCTGAAGATCTGCTGCTTTATTAGAAAACGCGAAACTTACCTATTTTGATCTAAACATCAAAGGTTACGAAAATATTTATAAAATTCGCGGTAATTATTAAATAAAAAATTATATTACATCTGCAGTCCAAAAAAGTCAGAAGAACAACACCACTGCTTACACACTGGAAATAGAAAGAGTTCTCTGAAGTGGGAAAGCAAGCTGCAAACACAGATCCTTTCATGTTTTCAATTGTGAGCACATTGCCACAATAAATACAATAGGAACTTATATTCTCGTACAAATATATTAAGGATATGGAAAATATCCACTGGCAAGTTCATGCCAATAATTCATAGGAATGTCCGGTGTTTTGCAAGCTCATATGAAAAAGTATTGCAACTTAAAGACTCGATTGAACTCAATTAGAAAAGAGTCCCTCTAAAAACTTATAATATTTCAATCTCAAACCAGGATTCCTATCATATTTTTCACTTCTCAGCAGCGGTTGTGCATAAACATAATCGGAATTTCGATTATATTGCAATTTGTTAACAAAAATGTAGATACAAGATAACAATGAAATAGGAAGAATTGTAAACAAAATGTTGAAGTTGTTGCCAGTTTCAGAATCTTCAGGTACATGTTAAGTACACAAATATTGAAAGGCATTGAATTACAGATAAGTAACAGTGAGGGTGGAAGGTCGAAATACTGCACCAGACATATATGATACTTGGATCACCGTTGCATTAGAGCAAGAGTGGGAGAGTGAGATACGACAACAGATAAAAAAATCATCTGGCAATAAAGTGGTTCAAGTGCTTATCATGAATTTGGAAAGCTGTGATCAATAGGACGGAAATTTACTTTAGATTTTCATGGGATCTAATGAATATATCAACATGTAAGTTGGAACGGATGTGAGGAAAAGATTTTAAAGATGAGAATCATTTAAGAGAAGCAGATCACCAGAGATTGCAGAAATTAAAAGAATGGAAGTAAGATGGGGTAATAGTTGAAAAGTATATGATTGAAACAATTCCAAATAAAGAACGATGAAAGAAAAGGGGATCATCACAGGTAGAGCATAACGAAAGGATGGAACTGAGAAAAAAATCTGCTCTAACGCTAAGCGTAAGCTTTTCCAAAGATGCCGTAACAAAGAAACTATATAACAAAGAATTTCGAAAGATCAGATAAAGAATGTAGAAAGATGGGTCTCATACAAATATATGGAAACGTATGGACAACAAAAGACAAAATGTGTCCCAAAAATAAAACGTTTCCATGGAAAATGTCCATGGGTGTACTAGATAGTTGAATTCTCCGTATTAAATATCAAAATCATAGAACAAGAACGAAAAAGATGTTTCATTTGCATTTCTCCTTTATTATTTTGATAGTTTGAATTCGCACAACATTGGAAAAAAAGGTCAACACTTCAATTCTTCGCAGAAAAAAATCGTTTATTTCTTATTTCTGACGATTTCTGCAACCAGAAACTTAAAAATCAGCCATCCATCAATTGTAATTCTAAATAATAAAATTGCCCAGTGAAAGGTGTGGATTGGACCCGAGATGAAATCAAGACTCTTTTGTAAGGTGAAATAAACAACTGGAAGATGCTGAAATTTTTCAGATCTGAATCTGACTTGCCACATTTTAGAAAACGGGGAATAACAGCAGACCGAAGTTGAGGATCAAATATTGTAACAAAAATTGGTAATTAATTAAACCAGTCTAATCGAATATATAGTTTCAGCGGAAATATATGATGAAGTTCTGCAAGGACTACTGACAAAGTTAAAATTAAATGCTTTCTAAATGTACCCAAAAGGAAAAAGAAAATGCATAATCAGAGACTTGCCACTGGAAAGCAGAACAAAAGGATATCACCACAATGAAGAGAACATTTGATGTTTCCAACCAGAATATTAAATTTTACCTATTAAAGTAACAACTGAACTAAATAAGAATGCTAGTTATGATGCATATTGATTAAATTAGACTGCCCGTTATGGAAACATCCCGAAGAGAAAAAAAACTCCTAATAACGACATTCCGGTACTTTTATCTTAAAGCCCATAAATAATACTTTGAATGAAAAGAATTCTGACATAGCATGAGAAAATGAGTCAACGGCACGAAAATAATTATCACGGATTATTACTTAAAAAATGACGGCGGGCTTTAGAATGGCATTAAAAACCATGAAAAAAAAACGAGCTGCTGGACAAAAGGGTAGCCAAAAGGAGACCACCCTAAAAGTATGCACCTACGAAGAGACATATTTCATGGTCGGTGGTCAACAAGTAACTAAGACAGAGCGAAACGGCGAGGTAGAACACCACACACGGAGCCTTGTTCCCCGCCCGCCCCCTCCTGGCGAACGGGGCGACTGTCTCTGCCGAAACGGATAATACTGAAGAGCAGAGGTAACAATTTCCGTAACCTTGGCGGTCAGTATACGAGACCAGGAAGGCTATCAAGCCCTAGGACCAACTGAGCCGCCATTGAGTTCCAGGTCAGGGAACAAAAAAAATACCGACCACAGGAAAACAAAACCCTAGCGAAATCAGACCCCAGGAACGAATGCCCCGAGTCCACGAAATTCGCAAGCGAGAGACAACAATTCGCTCGACGACACCTCTCGACACGACACGACACGACACGACACGACACGACACGAAGCAGCTGAGAGCTAGGAAGAGCATGAAACGCAGACCGGGACTCGCTCGGGCAAACGCCGAGCACCGCCACCGACAGGTTACCTTCTTCTTCCACCCCGGCGGAGCAGGCATCTCGACGGACACGACGTCGACATTCTCCACCAGGCCGCCGGCGGAGGCCTTCACGGGGCTCGCCGTCGCGGCAGGCTCTGACATGTCGCACCTCCCAGAGCACCGGCGACCTCGTTCCCGCTCGCGAATGCAGACGAAATCCGTCGAGTCTTCCAAGGAGGGAGGGGGCATTTAAGGGTGCTGCCGACGGCGAGGGAGAGGAGAGCAGGAATATCATCATATCATCATCTACTGCCCGGTCTCGGGCGGCGGGGACCACGAGCGTTTGAGGAAAATTAAAAAGCTCCCCCTTTTAACTACAACCCACCCTTTTTCTTTCTCTAACGGCTCGCCGCCAACCCACCCGAACCCACCCGGGGGGACGTGGCCTATGCCGTGGCTGTACACGTCCGCATCTTCTGCCGCTCGTCGTCTCCGAATTCGTCCTGGAAGGGGGGGGGAGTTGGGGTGGAAAACGCCGTTGCAGATCACACAGTGATTACTCTTGCAGGAATCTCCTCCCTCCCTCCCTCCCTCCCTCCCTCCCTCCCTCCCTCAGTTTAAGTTCTCTTTGCTATACAAGGGAGGAAGCCCTCTGCTCGGGCGACTCCGGCGGCGGCGGAGAGGAGGGTTCGGTGAAGTGGAACTCGATCTGCAGACGGTGGTGGATCGGGGTGGAGGCCATCAGGCCTTTCCGGACGTCGGCCTGGAGCTCCCGGATGGGGATCGCCGCCAGGAAGCTCTTGATGTACTCCTTGCAGGACTCCTTGCCTCTGCACACCACCACCTCCTCTTCCGCTTCCACTTCTTCCGTTTCCGCTGCCACTTCCTCCTCGACGGCGCCGGCGACTCCGCCGGCCTGCTGAAGGGTCTCGGGTTGGGCCACCACTGCTTCTCCGGCGGCGGCGGGTTTCTGGTGAGGTGATAGGAGGGAGATGGTGGTGGCGTCGTCGAACTTGAGGATGTAGGCCTGGTTGCAGCCCTCGTGGAGGCGCTCCCCGAGTGTGTCGATGATGTAGTAGGCGGCTTCTTCCACTTTCAGGACGAAAAAGTGGTCGTTCCAGCTCACGATGTAGACCTGCTGCTGCGGGCTCCCACCGCCGGGAGCTGGGCGGCTCCGCTGCTCCGTCGCCGCCCGGCTGACCTCGTCCCAGATGCTGTCAAAGGACATGGCTTCCTGGAGAAAGTCGAATCCAGAGCCATCAGCACCGCCGCCGCCATCACTGCCGGTCGTCGTCGTCGTCGTCGTTGTTCCCTCTGGGTGGAAGAAGCCGACGAAGGACTTGCCGGCGGCGACGGAGAGGGGGCGGATCTTGGCATGGAGGACGGTGTCGAGGTCAAAGTGGCGATCAGGGAAGCGCTGCCGGTAGGCCTCGTGCTCGCAGAGGTTGCGCCACTCGCGGGAGCCCTCGCGTATGAGGCTGTCGAACTGGGACTTGATGGGTATGGCGTCTCCGTTGGCCTGCAGCCAGTCGGCGACCACCGCCACCAGGGCGGTGCAGGCGCTCTCGCCGGCGGCCTGCTCGCTCCGCTGGTCGATGGACGCAAAGAACACTTGCGTGCGGATCTTCATGCGTCCGTCCCTGCTTACCACCTCCTTCTCCCCCCAGCTACCCACAGCGAACCCTTCATCTCCAAACTCGGACCCGCACAGCACCTGCTGCCCAGCTGCTCCTGCAGCGCCAGCACCAGCAGCTTCATGACCCTCCTTGGGCGGCAACTGCATGAGAAGTAGGTAAACAATCATTCTATGCCATTCCATACCATGTCATCCATCAATGGTATCAACTGGAGGAGAAAAAAATCGTCAACGCGGCCCACCCACCATGAGGGATTCGTCGGAGGAGCTGAGCTGGCGGCGGTCGTAGTCGATGTCGTCGCCGCCCTCTTCTCCATAGGCCTTCTTCAGGAGAGGCTCCCCGCGGGCCTTTGGAGACCTGAAGCTCAGCTTCCTCTTCCTCCAGGGGAGGATGCTCCTCCTAGACGGCTGCAGAGAGGAGGAAGGCACCTCCAGGAAAGGCGCCGCCTTGCCGGCAGCAGCCGCGGAGGAGGAGCCGACGTCCGACCGGCTGTGACTGTAGTAGACCCAATCGTCAAACTCCCCGCTGGTCCTCATCTGCGAGTAGCACGACCCCCCGAGGTAGTTTGCAGAGGCCAGCGTCCCGTAGCTGAACGACTTCCTAATGCTGTGTTCCTCCGCGTGGTCGTCGCCTTCGTCAGCGTCCTCCTCCGCCGGTGAGTCGGTGTCGAAGGGGCACGAGCTGTGCTCCCCGTCCTCGCTTCTTGCAGAGCAGCGCCCCTCGCTACCCTCGTCCTCCCCGCAGGCTTTCTTCGACCGACGAGCCGACATGAGCTCTGTAAATATCTTCACCTTCCTCAAGCCCGCCTTGAGAGCAGACAGCTCGTCTCTCTCGGCGTGAAGAGCATCCACTGGCGCAGGAGACAGCGGCACAGGAACAATGGACCTCGCGTCTGAAGACTCCTCGGCTGGCCTCATTTCCATCAGGCTTAGAGATATCTGCAAGAGAGGAGAAGCTCGAGGTCAGAAAGCCCACATGATCAGCCTGATCTTTCTCAACTATCAATCATCACGGGGGGAGAGAGAGAGACAGAGAGAGATGGGCTGAAGCCCTAATCCTTACAGTAGAACCACATACCAGTAGAGAGAGAGGAGGCTCGGGGATAGCGCCCGATGTGGCCAAGGGGATATTCATTTGGATCTCTTTCCCCTCGGCAGCAGACACGAATTCTGACAAATTCAAGGAAGCAGACCCAATGACAAACATCTTGCGGCGGCTCGGTCCTCCCTGTTGGAGGTAAGAATCAGACAGCAAATCATGGCACAATTCGAGACGAATGCATCCGATAAACTTCTGCAGCAACATCTAAAACAGCTGGAAGAGGATCCAGATGAAGAATGCGCTTAGTCAAACACTGAGAGATGACATGACTCCGGTCCCGGGGAAAGGAACTTGGTAGAAATCACTCGGGGAAGAGGAGTACGTCTGGGGGCAAGATAGATAAGATAAGCACAAGAGGACAACCGAATTCGATTAGTGCAGTATATATATCACCGGTAAAGGTTCAATGAGGATTTATTTAGTGCCCAAGCGGAAGGTGTTCTGGTCCCATTGAATTCAGAGAGGATAGGCTCACTACTCAATATGGAATTTGCTACAGCTCCAAAGAATCCGAGGAGAATGCGGAAGCGGAATCAGAATGGAAATGGTCTGAGCCCCGAAAAATTCAGGAGTTGGGGAAGGAAATCGTTTTGCTACATACAGTTCCAAAGAATCCGAGGAGAATGCGGATGCAGAATCAGAATGGAAAGGGTTTGAGCTCCAATAAATTCACGGGAGGGAGGATTTACAACCAGAATGGGAATCGTTTTGATCCCAATTGATTTCATGAGGAGTTATTTAGCACCAAAACGGAAACTGTTTCAGCTCCAAAGAATTCGATGCGGATTTACTTGCAACCCACAAGGGGATTTTTCTAATTTTGCCCAAGCAGTCAAAGGCCAATGCAGGGGGGAGAGGGGGATGGATCCATGGCCGAGGCATCCGTGCAGATAGATTGAGCTCATGGATAGAAGTAGAAACAGGCGATTCCAAGCACATCAGAAGTATGACTAACTAATCCTCTGAAGAACAAAAAACATGAATTATAAAAATTGATTAGAAATGTAGACTAGAGACCAGAACGCTGCAGCAGTACCGAATATATCTCCCACGCATCCTTTCTCTGCTGTGTTCACGAAAGAGGGGGGGAATCCACGGCGAAGCAGTACGGAAAGGAGAGGAGGGGAGGGGAAGAGAAGAGAAGAGAAGAGAAGAGAAGATGCAACTCACATTGGAATCGAGCACAGAGAAAGCAACCTCCCATGGATGGTACGCGTTATGCTTGTGGGACGTGAGGCAGCAGACGCTCCGGAACTCCTCGTTCCACTCGACGACCGACACAACGCCGGAAAGGAAACCTTCCTCCCCTTCTTCCCCTTCTTTCAAGGGTCGCAGGTCCAGGGCTTCCAGCGCCCTGGTACAGTTCCGCTTGATGGACGGCCTCCTTAGGGAGGTCAGCGTCGTCTTCGGTCCCTTCCACCTGACCTCCGCCGTCAACACCTTCTTCTTCTCCGGGGCAGCGGCCTCCGCGTTGGCCTCCTGTCCCGTCGGCGCCCCTCCAGCCAAATCGTCTGGCCCCTGCAGGCCAAGCGGGGCTTCAAGACGAAGGAGTACGAGCTTGACCTGGAAGTTCTTGGAGTGAAGGGGTGGCCACGGGGGCCACCGCATCATCCTGGCCACCATATCCACCCTCTTCTCACCCTTCGAACTCTGGAGTAGAGAAGGAGAGAGGATTAGAGACTTGGAGCCGCAGACACCTACGCTTTCCTCTTCACGCAACAGCCCCCGACCCCCGCAAATAGGGTAGGATTTGACCGATCCAGCACTGACCAAGGGAGGAGGCGCCGTACTAGAGCCCCGAATCCTGCCACCATCGCCGGTTTCCCCAGCTGCTCGCCGCGGATTTGACGGAGAGAACGCCAGAACGCGCGATCTCCCGGATCTCACACTACATACAGGTGGCGAAGGCGGGGGAGGCGGGGGGATGAGGGCCAGAGACCGCAGGACACCCCAACTGCGAAGAAGAACAAAATATATGGAGGAGGATATCTCCTCCGACCAGGAATCCGCCGCTTCTCCGGGGCAACGAACCAGATGGAGGAGATGCGCACCCCGCCGGCGACCGCCGCCTTCGCTGAGATCGGAGCACCTACCACCGCTGGGGAAAAGGAGGAGAGAGAGCCCGAACCTAGAGAGAGAGGGAGAGAGAGAGGGAGAGAGAGAGAGAGAAGGAGAGGGATGGAGGGGGCCACACGCTCGCACGCTGCGTCGTGAGAGGGATTGGGGGGAGGGGCATCACTATATCTGAAGAGAGGTCGGGGATGGGCCCCACGGAGGGAGGCCGAGAGCGTTCGATGGGGAATGGACGGATATCCCGTGTGAAGTGGGGCCCGGCCGAGCCGGCGCGCGGTGGCCTGCGCTCGCCGCGTATTAATTTTTCTAGGCGTTTGCTCCTCCGGAACGGTCGCCCCGCGGAATCACTCCAAAATATTTTATTTCCATGTCAGCAAAAGTGTATAACAATAAGAATCCCGCAAGCAGAGAGAATATTTTCCCGCCAGCCCCTAACCCTTTTTATAATCCTCCATTTACTCCCCGGCTCCCCGTTTTTATTTTGCGGTCTAATTCGAGGAATTAGGAAAAAAAAGTCGGGCGCACGTGTATGCCACGTCATGAACTCGATCTGACGCCGCGGCTGACCGAAATCTGGGGCCGACACGTGACAGGTCAACGCCGGGGCGGAAATGGGAATTGGAGGAAAAAGGGAAGGTGGATTCGCGAGTCACCTACCGCTCCTCCGGTGGCGGATTTGGACGGGGCCAAACGTCAACGGTGGTGGGCTCGAGTCGTTGGGTCGGCCTCCCCTTCTGTCGGGGCTGACATCAGACCCCGACAGTTCAACGCTTCGGAGGAGAGAGAGAGAGAGAGAGAGAGAGGGTAACCAGACAGATGACAGGGAAGAGACGAGGAAGGACGGCCACGGAAATCGGCATAAGTGGGAAGGGAAGAAAAGGCGTTGTGGGGGTGGAAAGGGTGAAGGAAGGCCAGACGGACGACAGCACGCCGGCGCCGACTCTTCGTCCGTTCCAGAGAGAGAGAGAGAGAGAGAGAGAGAGAATGAATCAGGAAGCAGCTAGGATGAGAGAGAACGCATCCTGTCTCTCTCTCACCTTCTTCTTCTTCTTCTTCTTCTTCTTCTTCTCCTCCTTAATGGAGCGTCTAGTCACAAACATCTATCGAGGAAAACCCTCCGCGGACGGCGAGGAAGCAGAGTTCTCTCCTCGCTTTATTGTTCGAGGGGACGAGCTTTCTTGCCCAACAACCGCTCACGTTCGTTATCGTCTCCAGGCAATAATGAGTGAGAGAGAAAAAGAGGAAGCTTCCGGTGAAGCATACGTTCCAAAAGAGCGTCGTCTACTTTTAGCCATGGGAGAAAATTTAGCAGTAAAGGGGAGAAAGAAGCCTTCCAAAAGAGCGATGGGCTTGAAGCTCTGGCCAGGCCGGTGCCCGGAAGAGCCCTAATCACCGCTTTAGAAGCGGAAGAAATTAAACCTTGTAAGTAATTTATTCTATTAAATAGCCATAATTTCCCCTCCCTAGAGGGAGAGTTCCCGCTCACGCACCACGAACCCTACAAACAAAGGCAGAATTTCTGAGATATTTCTCCGTTCCTCTCAATGGAGAGAACTATCTCCCAAGACTAAATTACATGGTAAGACTCGAGTAGCAGCTTTTATATAGCCAGGCACTCGAGAAGGCAAGTAAAGAAAATAAATAAATAAACGTGTGGCTTGTCCCCCTAATTTAAGTGTGGTTAACAAAGGGCTAGAGCCAAAAGGTACAATTAATCCCCTGATCGCAAAAATAAAACAGGAAAAAAACAACTTTTCTGGCATCCGTGGGGCTCTACGGCTGCAGGCGAGAAGGAGAACTGCTGCGATAGAAGAACTTACCGAAGACTGCTCCGCAACTTCTGCGGGAATTTCTGAAAGATGAGGATCATAAGCTCCCGCCGCTCACAAAGAGTCAAGAGTCGCGAGGGCGAGCAGAGACCTGGGCAGATGCTAGGAAGAATGAGAGATAGCACTGGTCGTCCTCTTCGATGAGATGACAAGCGGCACACGATGAGCTCCATCCGATGCGGAGATCAAAACCCCAGGAGATGAGATGGGTTTCTCCAGGCCGTTTCCCCTTTGGTCGGCGATCTTCGGCTCACCGAGACATAGTGAGAATATAGGCACAACACACATCAAAGCTTGTAGCAGAGAGAGGAGGGGAGGTGGTTGTAGTATCTCATCTTCAAATTCAAACGTTCTAGTTAGTGCCATGTACGCAAAAACACAAGGATACAGACGAATTCACCGCAGGAGAAGAAGCTATCTAGACAAGCGAGGGACAAATTGATCAGCATGTCGAGAAAAGTCCGATATCAGCCCTTAAAATGCAACACCATCTCCTGGGGAAAGATGACCGCAAGTTAGTAACCCGGGGTTTGCCAGTTAGATTCGTGGCAGCAAGATCACAGGAACATGATTCTCTTCGGTATTATCCTGTGCGTAACCGAGCGAATGAGCTAGATTTTTAGACAGATGATGAAAGAACGCATGGGGATAAAGAGGCTAACCATTCGGATTGAAAGGCTGAATTGAATGATGCAGGGATGCTGCGGTTTATCATGTCTTCGCCTGGCTGACAAAGCTTCCCACGCTCTTGAACCAATGCATGATGTTCCGATGATCTTTCACATAGAGCCAAGCTTGGAGGAACGGGAACAGGCTCTCATTCACACCCCGTTCTTCTATGAAGCCGTGAAATCCATGCCTCATCTTTTCATCCAGTTCTCTGAAAGGAAAGAAAGATGGTTGAATCCGTCAGCTTCTTCCTCTGAAACTCTCGATCCCTGATGACGACAGACAATGAAATGAGCCTGATGGCATTTTGAGGGCTCCATAAGGGAGGACAAATAGAACATTGCGGAAAATATAAATCATTAGCTGATGAAATAGGATTTTTGCTGTGAATATATTGTCGTAATGATGCCATAATCATGATACACTAGCCATTTTCCTCTTTCACATGTGAAACCACGAACCTCCAATTTATCCGCTCAAACTGTCATATTACCCATTCAAGATAGAAGCTTCTCCTGGGCTTCTTATCAATGACAGGTAAGCGATACAGTAGTTTTCATACATATCCATCACATGAAGACCAGGAAATTACGAGATGAGGAAAAAAAAGGGGTAATAGGCAATGTTTTTTGCCGGCGCTGGTAAAGCGAGAGATTCTTAAAAGGAATGCCCTTGGATTTCGAGAGCTCTGACATCATGTTTCTCTGTATGTGTCACAAACCACCATGAAGAAGAAGACCCACGGCCGATTCCACACCCACGTCCTTTGTGAATACGAAATTGAGTTAATGTGCTCACAATCATCAAGTTCTCCATGAGTCCCAGATCAGCCAATCACAACGGCCAATTTTATGGCAAAGAAAAGATTATACACCTGCTCAGTTATATGGAATTGTAAAGTTATTTGAATTGCAACAAATTTTAAAACCACCTGGGAAACATCATCTTTTGTTAAACTGAAACTCAAACATAGTTTGTTAGGATAAAGCCCATTTAACAGGTTTAAGCGCCAAAGCCCATTTAACAGGTTTAAGCGCCAAAGCCCATTTGAGTTGGATCAAACCACTGAGCACAAAAAGTACATAGAGCTTAATTAGACATCTGGATTCGGTCTTTAAGCTTAATTACAATCTGTTAGACAGTTTTAAAAACACACTACCAAAGATCTTTGGAGCCTACTTAAATAAGCTTAGACCACTAGTGGACAATAGGTCGTCGTCCCCAAAAGAGGCGGATAAACGGAAGACACTCGCTGCAAGACCTACAGACGTCCATTTGCACTGGGTCATACTATTCAACATCATGCTCCCATAAGGTCTCTGGAGTCATTCTGTAGAAAATTAGGTAATAGCATTGCACAAAAGGCCTTTATTAGGCTTTTGGAATCCATTTGTCGAGGGTTAGATCATTGCACATAGAGCTCACACAAGATTGGGCACAAGGCTCAACTTGGTTGCACTAGACTTGGCCATTTGACAGAAAACTGATTAATGTCTCTTTCAACCACCGGGCACAAGGGTCAGATAAAGTTTTCTTATATCGTGATCTGTGGAGACATGAGCCATATAAGCTCTTGATAGAATATCACAAATGAGCATAAGGCCCCAATACGATGTTATTTGGTTTTGGCTATTGGTCCTAAGACCTGGAATACATTGGGCTTGGGAATAGACTTATTGAAAAAAACCTACCAATAGGTTTGTTGGAATTATTATATACTCACATATTTTATACACATTATTTTCTCAACACAACTACAGTTGTTTTGGACGATACAATCCTTGTTTTGCAACATAATCCACTTTGGTAGATTTGAAGGAGCACTATCCAGTAGGGAAGGTTCTATGAATCAGTTCCTTCTCAGCACATTACTATTGGTAAAGATTTGTCTTTTTCTATTTCTAAGTGAGAAGCACAGTCTCCTCCATTTTTTTGTGCTGCTCCTTTGGATAAGTGTCCTTCCAATGAAGAAGGGTAGGATGAGCATCGCTTCCCCATTGGCCTTCATAGGTGTTGTGGTCTAGGGACATCTGTACCTTGAACATAACTACAGTTCAAGAGGCCATGTGGTCTTCTTATCGTTACTCTTCTAAAAATCTACAAAGATAAAGAAGGAAATAATGGAAGCTTCCTCCGTTTACAATAAAATTGCTTCTTCTTCATATGATCAGCGAAGACCAAAAAAAGCCATTTTGGCTGCTGTTGTCTCAATCTCGGAATGTAGAGCACTCTTCCTCTGAAGGCTCTTCTCCCAAACAATTGGTATCAGACTCACTTCTCCCAGTCAATTCTGAGAGCCTACTCTCAGAATGGATGCAACGGGGTCTTCTCTTCTTCCCACGTTGGGTCATTCTCCAATACGCATGTGACTTTCTTCTTGACTATTAAGGAGTGGGGTGTTCTTCCCTGTAATTGGTTGCTGCTTGTGATGTGTTTGTGGTTGGTCTGAGTTTTTGACATCTGTTGGGACCCTAGTGGACCTAACGTACTTGATATGCAGGAAAACATCTAAGAAAGCCACTGACCTACCACAGATGGCCCATTCTACCCCTGCACAGGAGAACTAGACCGGAGCCCCATGAAGGGCGAAGGGGGTCATTTCCTCTCGTACGGGAGTCAGGTCTGTCCTTTCATTAACTTGAATATTTCCTTTCCGATATGTCGCATTAATGTACAATCTGTACAGCATCAACGAAATCTTTCACTACTTAAAAATTCACGATGCTATTATCTTTTGAAACCACTCAAAAAACAGTATAAATATTCCTCAACAAACATAGAAAATGACAAAACTGGCCAAGTTTTCTTGAAATCAAGACAAGCTTCACAAAGACTAGTATGAAGGCTGGCACAAGGGCTGCGAGAAAATTGCTGGGGTTGATCACTCTTGCCATGGAGAGCTTCTGGTCCTGTAGCTGTCAATTATCGTAATGTATTGTAACAAATAAGGGTGGATGTATCATTATTGTCATTAGGGTTGATGATCATCGCCATTGCAATTTTGATAAAAGGTGAATATTCTGAAACAATGTAAGCCTTATCATACATATCAGAAGGTGTTCAATAATATTTTTTACATTCAAAGTGTATTCCTAACTATACAACTCACAGCAAAAACTGAAATGATAAAGCTCCAACTCTTTCATCTGAGCAGATGATTGTAGCCACGAAAATATACACGTAAAGCAAGTATCTTTCACAAAAGATAAAAGATAAAATTTTCACATAAATGCGACATACATCTAAATAAATGCAAACCCTCCAAGATCAAAAGGACCAGGCCATCTATCGGACATTGATGTGGCTTATATCATTTTTCATTTAGCAGTTACAAAAAAGTCACTTTGACCATGACACATTGATCAATACAAAGATGCAGTCAATGCTCGATCAAAGTCTAATATCATGGGTTAAAAGCGACCTAAATTGCCTGATTCAAACACAATTCATTAATTTTCTAAATCTTACTCAAATCACCACGAGAAGATACTCTTATATATCGTCCAAATATAAACCCCCAGTTCACTACCCCCTTATGTCTCAACCATTCAACACGAAGGACCCCAGAAAAACGATTCAAATATTGACCAGATTCATGTATACATGAGAGCTGCCATTCCTTATCAAGGAGAATAGCTAAAAAAATAAATGTGCACATGATACCAGTAACATGGCAGTATCGGATTACTTTAACTCCAGATTGATAACATGGTTTCTTACTAAAATGGAATTTTTCCCTTCAAGCTAAGATGATGCCCAGAGTATAAATTAAAAAAACTATCTTGAATAATACCATCGCCATGAAATTGTGCAAAAAGACATTGATAACTGTACAAGTTAAAAGATGAGAGATTTGAAAGCTCATTGACTTCAAACCTCACCAAAGATTCGGAGTTCTCTCAGAATACAGAAAGGAAGTTTTGAAAAAAACCTCCCTCCTTGGCCATTCCACAAAACGGAGAACCAACTTTCATTATCCTATCTCATCTATGTGTTCCTTATCAGTATCCATCTCGCAATAATCCAGATGGAATGAATATCTAATAAATTATCTACATTACTTTCCCATCTTTTTTAATAAACATCTAATCATACGAAGTAGTCAATGAAAGGGAAGTGGAGAAAATGAAGTCATACATGGAGCATCTAATAACAGGTAAAACTACCTAAGCACTCTGCAAGTGAAAAAAAAGACTTGAACTCGTATTTAAAATCACGATTTATTGTTCTTGACATCTGTTCATAAAAATGGGTTCTATCCCACAGCATTGCTGCAAGAGCTCAAGACATGAAGACTCAATGGGTTTCTTTTCCAATGGAATGGCCGGATGGGAGTCACTGTTTTGGGATTAAATACCAGGATGGGAAGGAAGCTTTCTACGACTGTACAGACAAAACAAGGGTACCTGGCCAGCCGGGTGAAATTTAATATATAAGAAAGTGCTCTTGGGGCTGATTAACCCATTAGAATATATGGCACAGCTGACTTCCAAATGACATAAACGTGCCGTGCTTTTCCTACTTCCCTAGATTTTCAAAAGGAGAGACAGATGTGAAACATATTTTAAACAAAATGATCCTGGCGTTTAGGTTTAAAAAGAATGGTCACATAACTTGGAGACAGAGATGCAACTTTCAGACAACTTAAGAAACTGATTACTTCAACTTCTAGCGAAAAAAGGCCATATTAGTGTACATAGGCACCATCAAAATTACACTGGTAGAAAATATCACTTAAAAAAACAAAGTTCAAGCCTTACTGGAAGACGCGGCCTGAGTACTTGCGTAGGGACCCGGGGCTAATAACCTTGGGCCGGAGGCAGACGGAGTGAATGCCGATGGCATCCGGATACAGTCCACAAAGGAAGTGGAGCGCCTCCTCTTGCCCCGGTTTTGACACGTCGACATGAAGGAAGAGCTGGTTGATTCCGTCATCAGCGTCCTCGTCGTCCTCTCCAGCGCCGGAGGGCAGGATGTTGGCCAGCCGCATGACAGACACCGTGATCTCTTCGTCCTGGTAATTCCGGTGGAGCACTGGCCCCTGCTGCTTCTCCAGCGCCCCCGACAATATCTTAAACGGCACCGGCGGATTCACCTTCTGCGCAGAGAGACAGACAAATACATGAAAAGCAGGCAAAGGGGAAGCAGAGGTGATGGTGCGGCCGAAGGTGGACAGAGTGGGAGCCTCACGGGGGGAGGAGTCATCCTGGAGGCTTCGAGGTAGTGCTCCTTGAGCGAGCGGAGGATGATGGAATCCACCGCGGAGGAGATGCCGGCGGCTGTCGTAGCGTTGGAGCCGGCGGACCTCGCCGCCTTCGTCGACAACTCGCGCCACCACCCTCTGGCCGCCCTCTTCCACATCTCTCTACCACTTCCCCGCCTCTCTCTCTCTCTAGGACCAGGGCTGCAACGCTTCCACTTTCAGGGAGGGAATCGATAGGAGGAAGCCAATTTGTAAACCAATACATAAGCATATAATAGTTTTCTTTATATATATCCAATATTTATTTCTTGTGTGTTTGGATTCGGCCAAACTAACATCTCCCGACGGAATTTTGGCCCTCTACCGACGGTCCCAAGACGGGAAATATAAAATATAAAACCTTGTGGGGGTGTTTAGAGAAATATCACAACTAGGGTGGCCGTCTGCGCAAGCCTTTCCGCGTCGAGAAGGCTGATTTTGAAATCCTAACAATATTTAACTTCCCTCTTTCCGGCTTCCACAATCTCTGCTTCTTTCTCTCTCTCTCTCTCTCTCCTCTCTCTCTTCCCTCGCTCTTCCCTCCAGATACGCCCACGCTGGCATTCTTCGGCTCGGCCTCCATTCGCAGTCGGCTCAGCTTCGGGATGCCGGAGCCGTCGGAGGCGACGGCGGCGACGATGAGGGACTCCGGGCTAGACGAGGTGGCTGCCTCCGCCAGCGATCCCGATCGGCCTCCCTGTTCCCCTCCTCCCAGCACTACTCCCTTGCAACCTCCGTTCGTAGCGGGAGAAGACAGCGACGACGATAAGGTCTACATCGTCCCCTACAGGTAGGGTTGCGTTTATCTATGCCAGCTTTACGCAAATGGATTGGGGGGGGGCCTCTGCTGGACCGATCTCTTGCGTCCGGCCAAATCTGAAGAATCTGGATATATTCATTCGTAATATGCAATGTAGTGGATTTTACTTCTCTCCCTCATATTTATGGATCAAAGAAGCTAATCTGCATCTTCTTCGCCGCAAATCAGATGGTTGTGGGAGGCGTGGGAATCGTCATCAGCGGGAACGGATAGTTCGACCGCTGGCAGAGGGATTCTCTACGCTGCTTCGTCAGTTTCATCCTCGTACCGCGGTGCAATGAAGCTCATCAACAACTTCTTCAGTTCGGATCTGGTGTTCGGCCTTCGGCGGGAGGATAATTCCAAGCACAATGAGGCTGAGGCCGCGGCGTCCGGTCGCTCCTATGCGTTGGTTAGGACTGACATGTGGTCGCGAGCGCTGAGATGGTAAGCATCACAGAGAGAGAGAGAGGCCGGGGTGAGGAAAATAATTCTTGGGACGCACATGTTGTTTATTGTGTAAAACCTTAACTTCAAGTTTTTCTTCACATAGTGGAACAACAGTCTAGATTTCTTTATAAGTGCACGTTTTAGTCGTAAATTTACATTTATAATGTCGTAGCCATCATCTCAGCGGATTTGTGTTATTGGGTTGTTTCTGTAATTTCTTTTATGGTATGGGGAGATGAGGTCATTAGAGTACTGAGTTTACAGGCTCCATTTTCAAAATGCATGCCCATTTCTTCAGTCAATTATGTATAGGCATTCCAACGTGGTCTTACAAGCCTTGAGCTGGTTCCAATTTATGACACAAGGCTCTATAATGGCAATAATGGTTGATTTATTAGTCTGCATCATTCTTTTCTGCTCTCTATTGATTGTTTATTGCATTACTTCGAGTACTTTCAATCCCAATGTCATGTCCTACTGCTAGCTTTTTGTCTGTTCTGACTTGAGTTTTAGTTTTTTTTTTCAGTTACTAATTCTCCATATCTCCTCCCTAAATCTTGTAGGCACCATGAATCTAATGCGGCAATGAAGGCTGGTGTGAACATTTTCTCTGTTTGTGAGGACAATGAAGTTGATACATATGCTTTAAATTTGAGGATTTCGGTTGCCCGAGAAACAGATATGATGACTGTAAAAATCAGCAAAAAGGTTGTATCCTTCTCTTGAACAGACAAGCGCATCAATTCACTTCATCACACATGCACACACACATTTGCATGCTGCTATGGAAATATAATGTAGGTTAGCAGCGGAGTTCTTGGAACTAAATTTGAGGCTAATGAGGCTTTTGAGTAAGTAATATTTCGCATTAAAAAGAGAGTTTTTCACATGAGAAAGAGAAAGAGAATTAGATTTAAGAATGTTTTAGAATATTTCACATGAGAAAGAGAATTTAAGATCTTTTAAAAGTGAGTGTGAGAGGCTTTTACTAAACATAAGGAAAGTAGAGCTGGATAGAAAAAATCGTTTGTAAAGGTTGATAGATGATATAGATTCTATGTTTTCATACTTGGATAAAACTCACGATTATGGATATAGCCGGTTTGACAGAAAACTTTTAGTAATTGATGCAGTAAGGGACTTGTTTCACATGATCATGATCACTTGGTTGGAATGAAAATAACCTGTAGAATATTCTATATTCGTTTTATTCCTCGTAGATTCATGGGAAAATTTGCAAAATACATCTGGTCAACTATGGTTCTTTTTAAAAAAGTCAATTATATCTTAAGAGTCAGAGTTTCAAACTGTCATAATGCTTATGATGACAATGTGAGAAGGGCCGAAATGACAATGTTTTGGTTTAGCTGAGGAAGACAGGAAGAGATCGTACACCAAATAAGAGAAAACCGGTTTTGAAATAAGGAATAAAGTCTGTGTGAGCCGTTTAAGTTGGGTTGGAATATGCCAAGAAGATTTTTAGACATTCTTGTTTGGAGGTATAGATATCTGTCCTTTGGGAATTCAAAAGAAAGTGACAGTCTAAAGTAATGATGCAGAAGCATTGAAGCATAAGGGTTTAAATGTGTTAAATACGAAATGATAAATGACGGAGTAAATTGCAGAATGCAATCCATTTTTGATTACCAATGGAGAGGGAATGTGAAAACCTAATCAATCATGGATTCATGAGTTATTCAAATCACACGATTGGTAGTGATGTCAAAAAACCATTTTGAGCTGATTGGGGCTCTGCATGATCATCTTCGCTAAAAAATGTGCTATAGGGTTTTACTTCCTAAAAAACCGTAATATCCATGCTTCTCTACTATAGGATGCTGCTGTAGATGATAACACACCCAGCTACTTAGTCTTCCATATGTTTTAAGAGGACTTTGTAGATATGACATATTATCTTTTGTCATAGAATTAAATCCAAAGAGTAAATGAGCTCTTGTACAAGAGGAGAGGAGATATTATGCTGGTCATGAGATTAAAAATTGGGGGCACTGTCTTCTTTCATGCATTAATTATTTTGCAAGAAACAAAGAAGCCTGCAGAAATAGATTTTTGTTCCTAATTTTTCTTGTTTCCTCTCGTTGACAAAAACGACAGGGACATGAAAACCTCCAGGCTTCTTGAAGGAAAGACAAAATATTCAGTCCCATCCTTTGTAACCTAGATAGCAAAATTGTTTTGCACAGGCGTTTTTGGTTCATACTATTTTTTCATGAATTTTTATTCTACTGATTTGGATACTTTGTCAAGTTACTATTGGCCTCTAGCTTCTTATAACGTCTTGCATGCTATGACAGGTTTTTAGGCTCTTACATTGCTAGAGTTAAAATGTTAAAATCGATAAAGTTTTGTTAATGTTTGCTCTTCTTTCATCCTCATGATAAATTTTTCTTTCAGGAAAATTCCGTGGAAAATTACAAAAGGGCTTCCAAAATTTTTAACATTGATTCTGAAATGGTAGTCCTTTTCTCCATTATGTTTCTTTCTTACAATGGTGATTTACAATTCTTTGGGCCCTGATCACTGTTTATTTTACTCCTGTGTGGTTTGTTAGGTCCACATTTGGGACTTCTCTGGGCAAACTACTCTTATTTTTATGAACGAGCGCAATAAAGTACATCAGAATTGCCAACGCCACACTGATCAAGAGGTGAGGGTTAACAATCTCTTTATGGAATGCCAGTTTCTTTTTTTAGAATGGTTACGACAAAGTCAGTTGATATATTGTGGAGTCTGTCTGAATTTTCAAAGTCAGTGGAATGTCAAGTGAAACAACGTCTTCAGAGATAAACAGACCCTGAAACTACTAATACAACAGCACATAATTCCTTTTAATGAAAAAACACTGCCTGCTTCCTGGGAACCATTCTCTCTGGCACTCACGAGATGGATATCATTTGGTTGGTCCTCATAATTTTTGGTTATCCTGGCTTCATGAGGAAATAGTGACTTAGTTTTTCTAATAATTTCTCTCAGAGGTCTATATGGATTCCCATCACTCTTGGTGAATGACACCTCCACGCCTGGCTGGCAATCCTTGCAAATAAGCTATCTCATTTCCATCATAAGCTTGGCAACTGATTATCATTCCCTTTTGAAGAATGAAAGTAATTTACCTACGAAACAATGAAAGTAATTTACCTATCTAGTCCTTTGCTTTCTTTTTTATCAATTTACCGAGGAGGTGATCTCTCAAAAGGGCAATCTCTTTTCAAACATATGTATTATATGCCTGTCAGCATCCCAACAATATCTGTGCGAACCTTAACAACGTTTTCCACATTCTACGAGGATTTGAATAATGCACCAGTATGCTCTCTATATGGAGATGATGACCCGAGCAGAACGAGATATACTTTTTTTGTCTTCCCATTAGTAATGAATGGGTTGGCATTTTCAGTTATGATTTGTAGCATTGGCGAAAGATGTACACTTACAATCATGGTCGAAGCAACTGAACCAGTCAAATATCTAACTAGTTGATTGAAACGGTTTTGAGTGGGACTAAGGGTTAGTTGATATTAACTTTAAATTTAAATTTGTTTGGTCTTGGATTGGATAATGCTGAGAGCTAGACATATTTGAATTGAAGCACTCGAATTTAAATTTGAATTCATATGCAGGCATGGTCTTGTAAATCCAAAAGCAGTGTTACAATCGACTTAGATTTTTCCATTCAGATGCTCATGTTCAGTAGCTGATTTATAAATAGATTGGACTTGTTACTGGCACCATCTATTTTTGGATGGTTATTTGAAATACTGTTACTGCTTATATGTGGACTGGAACCTTTGCCTGGGTCCAAGGGTCAAGGTTGATGTCAGAGTTTTGGCTGTTTCCTAGGAAAAGGTGAAGGCATCTGGGAAGGAGAATAGTGTGTGTTGATAGCCAATGGGGAAAAATGAGATGTATAGTGAAGCTGGTCCCCAGATAGATGTCAGGCAAATAGGTAGGATACAAGTGAGCCTCCAAAGTTGCTGCTGGACAATGCAACGATAACTATTTACTCTGGGGAAATATCATTTGTTCTTTTTTCTTTATTGTGACAATTTGCGGTAGTTAGTGAGTAGTCAGCGAGGTTTAGCTGGGTTGATGTTCTCAAACCTTGAAGTGTAGAAAGAGTGGTAAATTGGATATCGAAAAGTCTTGAGCGTGACACTGGTAGAAGAGAAAATGCCGTGCACTATGGATGTGGTGAAGTTAAGGAGGGATCTGTGATGGTAGAAATTATATTTCTACTTGCTGGTGGTGTTAGGATAGAAGCAATATCTATGTCTAAAAAATAGGCAAAGATGGTGAAGTGGAGGTTGGAACCATGCGTATTGGGTTTTTAGGGGTAAGGGGGGAGAAGAAATTGACTAAGAGATTGGTAACGTGGGAATCATGAAGGTATGACTTTTGTGTGGGGGGGCTGGCGATGGGAAATAGGGGTGTAGCATATGTTGGGTTTTAGTTGGTGGATTTTGTAATGTAGATTTTAGATTAGCAGTGGACTTTAGATTGGCTTAAGCTTCTACCACCTGCAGTTTGATGGCGATCAAGAGAAGGTGCATTCCAAAATTTGAGTGGCTCCTAGGGTAGAGGATCTCCATTGCGCTCATTAACTACTAAGTGGAAAAATCTGATTCTAGTTGAACAAAAGTTGGGTGGTTTCATCTTGGGATCACCTCTGCCTATCCTCTTTCTGTACCAAATCATTCCCTTTCATTGCTTTAAATACTATAGATTGTCAAAGGCTACTTCCTTTGATGTTTGAGTTATTGGTGAATAGTAAGTATACGAATGGAATATCAGGCGAATGGCCTGAATGCCCATGACGGTTTTTGCAATGCTCATCAGTGACTTTTTTTCGCATTGCTTGTCAGACATCAAATGAACATCGTGATAAATTCATAGGTTTCCCTCTAAAATACAAGATTTTTAGTTTCAGTCGTGTTTAAACGTACTACATCATCTGATATTTTTTTGTTAATGCAGAATCTTCTGGAGATATATGTCTATGGTTTGATAGAGACTTTGATTTGTCAAACTGAACCAAAAAAAGATGAACTGACAGTCCAGCAACTTAAAAAGGTATCATCGCATGATGGCTCATTCCTGTGCAATGGAAGGACTAGGGAAATGGACTCTGATTCTGCCCTTCTCAATGGCTACTCTCGCTGTGGGTCACTTGATTCATTGGGATTGACAGGATTGGAGAATCTTGGCAACACGTGTTTCATGAACAGTGCCATTCAATGTCTAGCCCATACTCCAATGCTTGTTGAATATTTCCTTGGGGACTACAGTAAAGAAATAAATTCGCAAAATCCTTTGGGGATGGATGTAAGTCTAATGCAGTATATGTTTTTTGCCATTCAATGTTATGCTTTATAAATATTTTTATTTTAATATAGTATCCTAGTATCCTTCATCTTCAACATGGCAGTTTGCTTTAAGGTGGAATTTAGAGTTCTTAAGTATCGTAGGAGTGTCTGTTGTTCTGTTCTTGCTGGAAATTGGGGTTAGGGCAGTGCCTGTTTCATTGAAAATCTTAAATATACGAATGGACAGTACTGAGGCATCTGGTTGTGGCAGCTTGCTTTTCCGAACAATTTATGTTTTCCAGATGGTTCTGGTTCTGTGCTAACAGTTCCAGATCTTAATCTAGTTGTTCATAGAAGGTTACAGTCCGTTTTGCCAGCTTTGTGCTTCACAGGGTTTTAACTTTATGCCTTGATTCTATATGTGCTTGTCGGAAATGTCTGTATGCAAAATCTAAATTAACTTGTGCTTCTTGTTCAGGGTGAGCTCGCATTGGCATTTGGTGAACTCCTTAGGAAGCTGTGGGCTTCTGGAAAAACGCCAGTTGTACCAAAACTATTTAAGGCAAAACTTGCTCGTTTTGCCCCCCAGTTCAGTGGCTTTAACCAACATGATTCACAGGTTAGGTTATTTGTTGTTCTCACAGTCTCATGCTTTCGTGAAATACATGATCCGAATTGTGTGTTCTTTTTACATTTACCAAGATAGAATCATTTGTTTTTTGACTAGATGGTCACATGGCTGGTTTACAGGAGCTTCTTGCTTTTTTGCTGGATGGGCTTCATGAAGATCTGAATCGGGTAAAATGCAAGCGCTATGTAGAAGTGAAAGATGCACTTGACAGACCTGATGAGGAAGTGGCTGATGAGTACTGGGAGAATCATCTTGCACGCAATAACTCTATCATTGTTGATATCTGCCAAGTAAGTGTCTTTCTTTGTTCTCCCATGTTCTTCTTATCTCTAATTACTGCACCTTATGTTTTTAAAGTTTCATAGGATGATTCCGCCCTTAGCTTCATATTATGGCTATCAGGGATTTCATTTTTCAGGAATCAGCTGAAGTAAATTTTTGTTACATAAAGAGGACTGCTTTAAGTACGAAAATATTGTCGGACCAAGCATTCTGCTTTTGTTAAATGCTTCACCATTAAGATTTTTGAGATAGTTTAGATTTCAGAATTTGTGTTGTGATAAATTGAGTCTGGTCAATTGCAGGGCCAGTACAGATCAACTTTAGTTTGTCCCATTTGCAAGAAGATATCTGTTACGTTTGATCCATTCATGTACCTGTCCCTGCCACTTCCCTCAACAACAATGCGAACAATGACTGTAACAGTTTTCAGCGCTGATGGCAGTGCTAAACCATATCCACATACAGTCACAGTTCCTAAACATGGGAAATGCAGGGATATAATTGATTCCCTTGCTGTTGCATGTTCGCTAAAGGATGATGAGAGCCTTTTACTCGCTGAGGTACATGATCTAAGAGAATAAGTTGAGATATGTTATAAACTTGTATCATTTTGTGTATTTCCTTCAAAACCTTTTTGTTTATTCCACATATCTCTCGCTAATGCGTTGGCTAGCTTTAATCATGATGGATCTGTCTCACAGGTGTACAATAACAGGATCATCCGTTATTTAGATGACCTGTCTGATTCAATTTCTTTGGTTAGAGATGAAGACAGGCTTTCAGCTTATCGGCTAGTGAAAGATCTTAATAAAGGCCCAATAATAGTGTTTATGCACCAGCGTGAGGAGTAAGCATCATACATGGATGTCTCTCATTGCATTATGTCTTATTTCTTTAATGCGAACCTCTTTCGTTCGTTTTGTTTGTGAGCTATCAAGATATTTCTCTATTGTTCTGTTTTATAAATTTAATAATAAATTCAGGAGAAGTTTCAGTGAACTGGTGCTGTGCATTAAGCATCGTGTGTAGATCCTATTGAGAATTTTCGATGTTGCTCGATCTTGTCCAGATCTATATTGTCAGTACTACATATAGTGTATCTCATGATCTTACTGAAGCACACAAAGGAGAACGGTGTAACAAACGTTACTAACTGAATAAATAACTAACTGATTAAGGCCTTCCATTGATCCAACCTCAGGATAGAGGAAGAGTTTTTCAGTTTTTAGATATTGATCAACTCTTTTCGATAAATTGCAGAGATATCACCTCACTCTGTAATATACGTTTGTCTTCATTTATCTATCCCTGTGGGCTACAAAGTCCCATGAAGTATAATTGGCTTTACTTCTTTACGTGGGAATGCTGGTGTCTAATTGGTGATTGTTTTGTATATTTGTCTAGATTATCCACTGAGTACCAGTAGCCTTATTAACCACTACTGAATTGCATTATTTCTGTAATGTACGAATACGACTATCATATTAATGTGTGTGGCACAAAACAAACGAGCGTGTGATAGTTTGTTCTTGAAAGTTTTTATTGCGGAGAAATTTTTCTTTTCTAAGGAATAACCTTGGAAGAGGAAAATTACCTTATATCATCTAACTTTGCGACTATTAATTTAAGGAGGGTGGTGCTGGTTGACGAAGGACTATTTCGGATCTCCATGTTCTTATTCTCTGATTTTTCATATGTTTAAGTTTTTTTCTCTGCACTTATATCTGCTGTACTTGATGTGACAACCAAAATGGCACAATCCTAGTTTGATACCGTCCCATCGGGGCACCTTGTTTTGTTGTAGTGCATGAAATATGTTGTGTAGTGAATTTTGTCCGCCTGCAGCCACAATATTTCAGTCTTTGACCTTGCTTGAAATCATTGCAAATTAGATGATGTAAACGTTTTAATGGGTGCTTCAATACCTGTTAGACAGTTGAATTTTATCCAGTAACCAATTAGATCCATTACTGTTGACGCATTCAATCTATAGTTTTCACATGGAATCTTCAGTGTAATGAAATCTCCTATGGTTATCTACTCCAAGGACTTCATCGATTGGGAATAATATGGTTTTTGACAAAAGGGTCATTATTACTTGTTTTAATACTGCCGGAGATATCATCCCCTTTCAGTTTTCTACCCACATGGATTTTGTACCTTTACAGTGTTGAAATTCCTTGTCTTCTGTTGGCTTATTTGCGTAACCCCACAATTTATTCTACCCATGAAGTCCGCAAGCTGTTCATTGATGCTTGTTGCATTTGCCTCCTATAAACATTCCTGACTTTTAAAAAGATTTGGCAGATCTTTGTTAACCTCTGTCTCTCAGAAACTGATGTTCCAAGTAAAGTTAGACTAAACTTTTTGATGAGGACCCAATTTCACTCTTCACTTGTTTTTTGAGATGGAGGCCAAATGTGAAATCCCACAAGTTTTTCTCCTCTTCCCTACCACAGAAAAAATGGATGTCTGCATTCGCCCTTATTTAAATCTTTATTTTAGGTCTCCTTACCCATAGACTGGGCCAACTGGATTGAGCACGCCTGGTCCAGTCCACACAGCAATTGTCCCCAGCATTGTTTACTTGTGCTGTCATGTTTTTACACTCATCATTTTAGTTTATTCACTACACTGTTATTCTCAAGAGGGGGGCTTCTGAAACGAATAAAATATAGAATTTTTAGATATGGGAAAAGTTATGCTTCTTATCTTTGAAGGATTGACTCAAAGTAAAAATCCTGGTTGAGATTACTCTTACAGCCATCCACCAGGGAATTACCAGAGCATTAGCCAAAACTGATATTGAGATGATTGACTCACCTTCAAGCCCTAGTGATTCCAATAGGTGATTGAAGTTTGGAAAGCCATGATTTCCTTCCACTGCCTTCTGCTACATTACGCAACTTATGTTTCATCTTCTTTTGTAGACGCATTCTTTCAGCTCCCAAACTGCATATTGGTGTTAACCCAATCTCTTTACTGCATAAAAATCCATCAAGAAAGCTTAGAATCAGAGAGCCTTCTCATCTCCCTCTCATAGACTTGTCCTTTCCCTTTCCAGTTGGTCACATAATCCCGAACACCAGATTCCTGTATAAATCCAGCAGCACGTGTCCATCATTTCCCTTTGCTTCGATTTCAGCTGAATATAGCCATTCATCAGATACAACTGAATTCATTTTTTCCCCAGCCCTTTTTAGTCTCTCAGCTTTGTGTGCCCGTCACTTTCACACCCTTTGCCTGAATCTCAATCATTTATTCTACCAGTTCTGGCATGCCTAGGATTTTCATAGTCCTCTGAGGTTTTTTGAGGAATATCTTTGTTATAAGCATTTGCTGCCGTGATAGGTCGCAATCTGACTCTTTATTTCCTATTCTATAACCTTTTCTTTCCCCTTTCCTTACATTTTCCTGCACAAATGGTTTTTTCCTTCACTCTACCCATTTTCACGGCTTCCATACCGCCTCAAAGGTACGTTGCCACTCATTTACTCATTCTGCGTATCAGTTGCTTAGAAATTCGATTTATTGTGTTAGTATGCTGTGACTACTTTTAAATACAGATGAAATCGTCTGTAAAGTGTTTTAAAAGGTTTTGTTTGTTGGCCATTGCTTTTGTTAAACCTAAAGTACATTTGCATGCTAATAGTTCGTGCCACTAAAAGCCTAGAATAATTATGCATCTTCGAACCAATAAAACAATTATGAGAACTGTAGGCCTATCATTTTATGTCAATTGCTTTAATTTGAATTTATGTTACTGCCTTCGTGTTGCATTGCTACAGTTCCCCTTCTCCAACCAAAGAAAATGATTGCAGAATTAAAAGATAGATTTCGTAGGATCTGTTGTGGGATCTATTGTGGGATCCTATGTCCTATAAGATCTATTGACAGAACCTCTTATATGTGTCTGAAAGTGATTCGCATCGTTTTAATCTAGGAAATATACATTTTTATGAACTTTGGAAATATGTCCACATCACAATTTATTTTGATTTTGATGTTTTGATCTTGTCACTGTAATTGGCAGGATTTCCATTGATGGCAAGAGGACATATCAGCAATTTGGAGTTCCCCTTGTGTCAAAATTATCTGATGATGCTAGTGGATCTGCTATCCAGAATCTCTTTCTGGAATTAACAAATCCATTTCTAAAATCAAGCGGTGACCTGCTTGACATGGGGAAGAACGACCAAGGCTATTGCAATGGTGAAGTTGATGATGTAGACACTCGTTCTCCTCTGCCAGAATGTACCAGTGCAGTTGAGGTGGTTGATGTAGGGTCATGTGCTGGGAGTAAATTACTGTTTTACATCACAGACCAGAAGGGTCAGGCGATGCAGTCCCAGATTGAAATAGATGAGATAATTTCATCAGCCGATTCACAGAAGGAACTGTATGTGCTTGTGTGTTGGTCGGATGAAATCATTAAACGTTATGATGCTCAGCTACTAGGTTCTTTACCAGAAGTTCGCAAGTCTGGGTTGTTGCGAAGGCAGCCTCAAGAGACTATTTCTCTCTATTCGTGTCTTGAAGCTTTCCTGAAGGAGGAGCCACTTGGACCAGAGGACATGTGGTGAGTACAGCCCGGAAATTATATCAATTCCTTTTCTGACGCGTATCTCCTTTAGCTTGCCCCCCTTATTGCCGCCACATGATGTTAGATTGCCATTTTGGTTGAATAAAAGACCAAGCAGTGATATCGGGAGCAAACTGAGTCGTTCATCATATTCTGCTCGTTTCCAGTCATTCTGCTCTTTTACAAGAGCAAATCGATTGCATATTATTTGCCATTCGTAGGGCTTGTGGAACCATGTCTTGATGAATATTGCCTGATAATAAGCCGCATTAGGGATGAAGGTATCAAGATCTGCTACCTATTTTGACTGATTGTCGAGAAAGTAGGGAACATTAGTAAGCATACGGTCCCAGGAGTTTCTCAAGGAAACATTAGCATGTACCGCTTAGAATGCTTCCATGCTTGCCGCAGTGGAAGAACTTGTGATTGCTGAGAAAGTACTTCGCACAAGGTTTTGTTGGGGTAGGGATGATTTGGTTTTTTTCTTTGTCCCCTTTCCCTCTTCCCTCTTCCCTCTGGGAATAATCTTTGCATTCAATCTGATCAACCCACGTATTGCATTCAATCTGGTCTTTTCCCATTGAGCTTTAGAGTGATATCGGATTGTTTGATGGTGTCTTGGAGCATGACTGTCTTTGGATTCGCGAAAATAGCTGACTCCCCATTTTCTCTCAGGTACTGTCCCTCGTGCAAGGTGCACCAACAGGCAAGCAAGAAACTAGACCTCTGGAGGCTACCAGAGATCCTCGTCATTCACCTGAAGAGATTTTCCTACAGCCGCTTCACAAAAAACAAGCTGGAGACGGTGGTTGACTTCCCTATACACGATCTCGACCTGTCGTCCTACGTGGCTCGCAAGAACGGGCAAGATCCCTACATTTACGCGCTCTTCGCCGTGAGCAATCATTATGGAAGTATGGGAGGCGGCCATTACACCGCCTTTGTTCACGTAAGTTGCCCCGCCGATTCGCTGTTCTACACACGACTGGACTTGGTGAATTGCACTTTTCCCCTCCGACCCAACGCATCTCTTAACTTCTTGAAATCAATGAAGAACCAGAGAGAGTAACAGTTGGGAAATAACGCATGTTTTGCAGATCCGTAGGCCCTCACTAGGCCTGGTCTGATCTTTCGCATCTTCCTCTCTAGTCTTTGACCCCTTTCCAGATCGGTCCGCAGAGGTCCAAAAAACAGAAACAGCTCTGGGTTCGATAGTCTGATTGGAATTCTGCGTCTTCCTGTGGATTAACTCAACACCCCCATTTCCCCCCTTTGCGTTGCGCTCTCAGCATGCAGGTCAGAACCGCTGGTTCGACTTCGACGACCGGAGCGTCGTCCCCATGGCGGAGGGCGGCGTGAAGAGCTCGGCGGCTTACGTTCTCTTCTACAAGAAAGTTCCAGCGGCGGTCCCGGGCTCTTGAGCTAAAGCCCTTATTTTTAGTCACTAACCACCGGAAGAGGCGGCGCTGGATTGGGTGGCTGGCTGGCTCACGGCGATTTTTTTCTACCGCAGTAGGGCAATTTTTGCAGCCGGAGTAGGCGGAAGTATTCTTCTCCTCCGGCGGCCGGCGGCAGCTGACCAGGGTGGGGGCAGTCTACCTACCAACGAACCACAACCACATGGGAGGTAACTACATGCCCTCTCGGCAAGCGAACTCACTCCACCACCCCCTCCAATCTGTGCATCTCACAAATTTAATTTTTTTTTTTTTTTTTTTTGCATTCTTCCTGGGTTTTCTTATGATTAATCGATCCTTGCTTCCGCTGTACCGTGTAAACTGGAGCGGCCCTTGTTACGCGCATATTCCATGCGGGCATTTGAATGAAGTGAAGGGCATTTCTTTTGAGGAGCTCCCAGCCAGCTCTTCCCCACCCACCCCCTTCCTCTCTCCACGCTCTCTGGTTCCGGGTCGCCGCGGATGAGTGAGAAAGTGACTGGAGAGAGAGAGTGGGGGGACCTTGGTTTGAATTAATTGATGGAGAGCTGGTAATCGGCGTCATAGGTTCTGATGATTGAATGTCACCCCGGCTCTGGCTTGGTCGGGTTTTGTTACTCTCTCTGTATCTATCCATCTATCTCTTCCTTGTGAGGGAGTTCCCAAGGACGGAATCTGGAGACAGCCCCGCCAATGGTGGGGGGCGGCGCTGCCGGTGGTCAGGCCCACACTGGGCATGTCAGGCGAAAACACCTCGGTCGCCCGGGCGGACTTACACCGAAGAATCGATCACTCGGGAGCGCCAAAGGCGAGGGCTGCGTGGTCCCTCCCCCCACAATTCATCATCTTCATTCATAGCTACTGTTGCACGCCACCGCAGCTCTGGTTGGCCCACGGTGTTTTTACTCTTCTTCTTCATCCGGCATGCGCCCGCCCCATCGCAGCGGCTCCGTTGACGCCGTCTGCGTGGAGGGAGGGGGCGGTCGCGCCGGGTTCGGTCGACGACGGCGATGTTTATTAAAAGCCCAGGCCATCCTGGTTGGTCTCTTCGCCTCTGGACCATGCGTATCTTGGCCTACCTGCCTCCTACTTGTTAAAAAAAAGGACCATACGACTCTAAGTTAACCGGCAATAAATGAGGGAGGGCCGCATTTGTTAATGAAGAGATATATTCTTCCTGGGCATCCAAGTCCGGGTCTTCCAGGCTTCGCCGCGAGAAGAACGCGAAGGGAGAGAAGTACGCCGTTGCTACAGCTGTATAGGCATATCTCCCTCATTACACTGCTGGGCAGAGAGGACGAAGATGTGCAAATGGAGGGGAGAGTGAGGCACCGGCCGCAGTTACTGCGGGGCCCTTCCGTCCAGTCCACTGGTGGGGCTGTGTAGTACGCGATTACATCGACTGCTGGTCATGTCCGGCAGGAGAGCCTGCGCCTGGTTGGCAATGGAGGGCGGCTGTGGAGGTCCCCCGTCTCGACGATCGGCCGGTCAGTCGGCCGGTCAGTCAGTCAGTCAGTCAGTCATTTACTTGCACCCATAGCGTATGTTGTTGTGGATCAAAACTGTCAAATCGACGTGACGCTTGACAAGTAGAAGGGCTGGGCCCGGGGGCCCGTTGTGTCACTGGAAGGGGATCTGAAGAGGTTTCATAGCACGGCGGTGGTCCTGGGAGGGACCCTGACCTCGAGGGAGCTAGGGCCGGGCCTTTCCGTTGTTACTTTGACATCACCTTCGCTCCGACCTTGTGTATCCTGCAGATATTGAGCCCCTGTCACCAGAGGAAGGTGGAGCCGTCCTTGCCCAGAAATTAATAGGCGTGTCCAAAAAAGTTCAGGTTAAGCTCTGCAGAAGAAGCCCACCCAGTGAGAGAGAGACAGAGACAGAGACAGAGAGAGAGAGAGAGAGAATGACGGTGTACATCGTTTTCTCATTCTTGCTGCCCTTCTTGTTCTTCTTCTCGAGATGGAGAATCGTTTACGTGATTCGGAAGTCCATGCAGTGAGAGAGAAAAATGAGGGAAGAGGGAAGGACTGGCCTTTATGAGAAACCCGAAGCAGCTAGGGTTTTATTCACAACAGATCAAATTCCTTTGTGAGAAAATAAAAAAATATGGCGATGACAATAGAGATGTCAATGGAAATCTGGTCGGTGGGAAGGCACTGCATCTACTGTCCCGGTGACCCCTCCGCTCGGCCTCATTGGCGGAGTGTAACTAGACTGGCACTCACTGACGATGGCCAGCGTCTTTTCTCTCTCACATTCAACGTTTTCCCCCTCCTGTGACCCTACTTCCATAGCGTTTGCTAGGCTCTGACGGTGGCAACCGAGGCATGAAAAGGAGAGATGGCGAGTCCTCTCTATCTCAGACCTATGGCCTCGTTCAAATCCGTATAATCGCCTCACGGTTGATCCTCCTCTCTACCCACGTGGATGACGATCGTGAATACTTAAAAAAAATGGCTTCTGGGCCATCCGTTCATTTGAAGTAGCAGATCGATTGACAAAGGAAATATCAATAGCCGGGGGGGTGGAAGGGGGGGTGCGCAGGTCAACGCAACGAGTTACTTCTGTTCTCTCTCTCTCTCTCTAAATACTGGGACACGCATACACACTGGGATTAGGTTCAGACATCTGGCCACTTGAAATCACGCTAAGACAACTTGCACAGACGATTCACTGTCGGCCTACTGAGTCCTGCAGGACAGATCCCGAAATTGCGTCTAAAATTCACTGGAATGTACACATAAATTTCCATCCATATTAGTTGTAGGCTCGTCCTGTGTTTCTTTTGATGTCAAGTCGATTTTACATTACACGCAAGTTCCCGGAAAACAGGTTCGAAAAATGAGGACCATGCATGCACTTTACAGTATCGCCACGAGTAATCAGCCGTGTTCATCATGCTGCAGATAATCTAGCGTCTTTATGTCCTTTTACAGATGAAAGACGCCGATTCAGAAATCCGATAGTAATCAACCACTCTCTCTCTCTCTCACTCTCTATCTATCTATCTATCTATCTATCTATCTATCTATCTTTCTATCTATCTATCTATCTATCTATCTTTCTATCTATCTATCTATCTATCTATCTATCTATCTATCTATCTATCTATCTATCTATCTATCTATCTATCTATCTACCTATCTATCCATCTTTTTATCTATCTATCTATCTATCTATCTATCTATCTATCTATCTATCTGCCTATCTATCCATTATCTATCTTTCTATCCATCTATCTATCTATCTATCTATCCATCTTTTTATCTATCTTTCTATCTATCTATCTATCTATCTATCTATCTATCTATCTATCTATCTATCTATCTATCTTTCTATCTTTCTATCTTTCTATCTCTCTATCTATCTATCTATTTATATATCTATATAAATATCTATCTACCTACCTATCCATCTAACTATGTATAAACATATATGAATATGCCAACCAGTGATTAAAAGATGCACCACAAGACACTATAGGTGGCCATGTTCGGAGAAGTCTTAATGAGCAATGAATGTGTTTTCTCAAGGAAAGTGAAACATAATAGAGTAGCGGAAACCATGGATCGCTGACTGAAGTAAAATATGAATTTGAATGATGGTCGTGAAGGCTTGAAATTTCTCATGGAAACGTTGAATTGTCTTCTGACAGTATGAGGCAGGTTATCAGCCGCGAGGACCCAATCGCATTTACCTGCACATTCTAGTCATGCGGACCGATCACCCCCCAGTACAAAAGCACGCAAACACATACAGATACACGGGACGGAGGGGTGGGGGCGAGGGTCAGAGAGAGAGAGAGGGAGAGAGAGGGAGAGAGAGAGAGAGAGAGAGAGAGAGAGAGAGAGAGAGAGAGAGAGAGATAACCAACACATTCACTGGAGCATAAACTTCCAACCTCCCACATGTTGTACCCTCCCCATCACCTCCATAAAAGTTCATTGTCCTCTGCAGCTCCATTCCCGTCCTTGAAAGTCTCACGCATATCGTTATCGCTGGGGATCGGAGATGTCGTTCGAAGCCGTGGCGTCCGAGCATGTCTGCTACATCCACTGCAACTTCTGTAACACCATCTTGGCGGTATTTCCGTAACACCCTCCTCATCCTTTCTGATGCTATCCTGCCTCTCCCCCTCCTCTTCCCTGTGCAATGGATCCTTGAGATGACCATCTTCCTAAATGCCTTAGGATAAATTATCTACCCCACCGACTCCAAATTTGTTCGCTCCCTCGTAAGAACAACTCATGGCTCGACTTTTAGGTTTCTTTCTCTTTTTTCCTGATGGTTGACAGATTCCTCCTCTTACAGCTCAACATATTAAGATCCCTTAGATCCTCAGGAGGTTCTTAGTTGCCTACCGCCTACTGACCCATCTGGCGCGTGTGGAGATCCCAAAGCCCATACAGGATATCATCGAATATGTCAAACTTGAGGTGCTTCCCCTCTCTCGTCATCGTGTCTGCAAGAGTCTTGAGAATCGAAACTAGTGTAGGAATCTGCCTTTATCCTGTAGTTTTCGATGCCATTGATTTTGCACCGTCCAGATGTTATTGAAGTGTATGTGATACACAACTGTTATGGGGGAGAGCTCTAGCATGGATAAGTTGTTAAAGACATGAGTTTTCTTTCAGTTGAAAACTACAGCTAAAACAGTCAGGGATCACCCGATCGTCATAGTTATGCACAAAAAGTTGGTTATCGGACGGTGATGAGTTGAAAAGAAATTGTGAAAATCTTCCAGATTCTCTCGGAAGATTAACCTCACTAAAGTTAAACAGACTCGTCAAATTTTTATTTTCCCATCAGGAACCCAGTCGTTAAATTTTTGGTCTTCAATTATTTTGACGGAGAGAAAAAGCTTTGATCCAAAGTAAAATGGGTTATGTGGTACTCACGGATTGAAACCACTAATGTGAGCATGTCTCAAGGTTAGAGTTTGCATTTCTTGAATGACATGAGAATCCTAGAAGGAAGAGGGATCCTTGACCTTATAAACTTATAAAAGAGGGTATAGTTTGTGCAGAAGTTATGTTTGTCCATTATGATGTAGAACTCTTATGCCTATGCAAGGTACTGAATGAAAGCACCTAATCAGAGAGACACGAGCCGGATGTCTGATTTAAATCTCTTACTGGTTCCATCGTTCTCGTTTCAGTATGTAATTGAGAATATTTCACGTTTGTCAGATTATTTTATAAACGGAAAAAGAAGGAATGCTACAAGAGATCTCGGCATCACGTGAGCTTGATCTTCAGCTTTATCCGTCTCCCTGCACTCCGACTCGTTGTGGTTTCTTCAACAATTTTTATTTGATGTCCTTAGTGTTTGGCACGTTTTGAGTACATCACCTCTAATAAGTGACTAGAAGCCCCTCAGAGCTCCAACTCTGTTTTTCTTGAGTAGATGGCCTGTGGAAATATCCCTAAGGAATATTTTATCACCATTTTATTAAGAGGTGAATGGCGATCTCTCATTCTTTCTACTTCTGTAATATTTTTAGGGTTTCTTTCGTTGTGTTTAGACCGCATTTCAAGGTTAAAGTTGGCATCTTCAACGTTCTTACGGCCTTACGACTCTGGAATGACTAAATGAACGTGAGTATTCTTCGTCCCATCCCATGGGGACAACCATAGCCTCTACCGCAGCAGTTTAGGAAGACCTCTGACAAAACCTGATGGCAACTTGCCTTGCTCTTGTTCTTCTACTTCTTTTAGTAAAAAAAAAATTGGCATCAAATCTTCTTCCCCCCTCTTCTCCCTCTTGTAGCTGCATGTCCACTATTTCGGTATACATTTGATGCCAATAATGGGCTTCGTATCATGTCAGGTCCTCTCTCTCTCCCCCAATCCGCCCACCTTCCCACGGCACGGAAAAGAGATAAAGAGGGGGAGAGGGAGAGAGAGAGAGAGAGAGAGAGAGAGAGAGATTTATGCATGTCAAGTATATTTTCCTTTAATGGGATGAAAATCCAGAAGGAACATTTCGAGACAGGATATTCTAACCGAAGCAAGACCAGGGTCCAACATCGGGGATACAAAAGGAACAAAAAAGCTTTGCGAGAAAGTGAGACGGGGAAAAGCGCGTGCGCGCATGCGGGCCTGAGCTTAGATGTCTAGAAAATTCTAGCCGTCTTCCAATAAAATGCTGTAATGTTCTGATTCTTGAAAGGAAAATTCTCTAGGTATAATTCGCATCCCTTTGCTTCTTCTTAATCAGGTCAGCGTCCCGCTCAGCAACTTGTTGAACTTTGTCACTGTAAGATGCGGACACTGCGCCAGTCTGCTGTCTGTCAATATGGGAGTATTGCTTCAAACTTTCTTTCTTCATGATTTTCAAGTTTGTTTTTTAATTCATTTACATCTTTCATCTAGCGTGCTGACTGAAAACAAACCAAGGAAATAGAACCGCAGATAATCGAACACGAGTGTTCTTGTCCTCCCAACCACCCTGGCGCTGCCACTAGAGGAAAAGAAAGATCCTTAAGGTTGATTAATTTTACAGGTCATTTAGTAGTTAATCTTTCTTTATCCGGCCATAGTGAACAAGACTGATCTGTACTGAAATTTTTTAAAGTAGAAAGGAAAGTGGATATTCGAGAACCACATAAGATCTAGAGGATCAAGATCCCAATCCCATCCAAACACAGCAAACCTCATTATTGAACTTCCTTGCCAGTTAACTGCGCACAATAATAACATGGAAGAAGAGTTAATGTTCTTTTTGTTTGAAACTCATATTTTGGAAAAATTTTGATGATTTCCTTTTAAGGAGAATATGATGCAATACAACCAATATGAAATCTAAGAAGAAGATTACTTAGCTTACTTTCGAGCAACTACGAAGATAAACGAATTAATTCGTCTCATAATGTCATGACATTAAGAAACGCACTTGAATGGAAAAGAAAGCATGGATCAGTTAGCATGGATGGATAGACGACCATCATGCTGTTGCCCTTTATTTTTATTTGTAGGCTCTAACTAATGGAGAAAAGCTGTCTCAACTTTTAGAATTCAGAGATTATTTTAATATTTCTTTTATTCTTACTTCCTCTGAATTCAGAGTAAAAGTGTTTCGCAAGGTTGTTCATCTACTGCACCCAATAATATTTTATTATCTATGAAAAATCCACAGTTGCAGAGCCACAGCGTTAGATCCTTGGGTTACAGCAATGTGTGCGGGTCTTCCTCAAGAGGTAGCACCATACCGACGATGAACTCCACTGACAACGATCAACACCAGCTTCTAATCAGACGTCGTATGTTGCTCATGCAATTTGACATCTGACGTAACATTGGCAAAGATATATATTTCTTATTTAAGATGCATGACAGTCCAACAGTGAAGTCCATAGTTATATCATTATCGTGCTTAACGTTCATCGTTAACTGGACCCCCTATTTCCCAGTTTATCGTTACATATAATGATCGGCAGTATAACTTCATCAAGCTCTTGAATGTGTTGTTTTTTATCCTTGGATCTAGTTGCGCGATAAGATATATCATTATTTTTCTCTCATAAACGATTGTGGTTTTGTAAACAGCGCCGGAGAAGAGACAACGAGTTCCCTCCACCTATAATAGGTTTATTAAGTAAGTCATATACCAGCTGTTTACACACCACGTAAATAACTATAGACAATTTATTTATATTCCCTTTTTATTTTCCTTTTTTTCAGTTAAACATTTGAAAATGTTTCAACGTTTTTTTTTCCACCCATGACAGGGAGGAGATACAAAGAATAAAGGCCAACAACCCAGCTATAAGCCACAGAGAAGCCTTCAGTTCGGCGGCAAAAAATGTGAGTGCCGTCAAGAATGGTCTTCAATGTTAGCGCTTTGATTTTCGAAGGTAGTGGTTTTTAGCTTGTCATACAAGGAGAATAGCCTGCAACCTACCAAGGGTTCCGACAGTCGAGAGCTAAAAATATATTCAATCGAAAAAATCTAGACTCCAATACATCTTCCATCAGAAACCTTTGCAACGGGGGAGCAGCAACGTGAAGACTATAAGGGTTGCCGCTCCAGTAACATCGGGTTGACTTCGTCGCAAAATTTGTGTCCATTTTTGAAGAGTTTTGTAGGAAGGAGATATAGGATAGAACCAGTATATGCTCCTCCGAAAACTATAGTCATGCACACTATATATTCTTTGAAGAATATGGTTTCTCCGGTAATATTTTCAGCGCTAACATTATCATGTTCCTAGACAGTACTTTCCAGGGGTGTACATAATCAATTCATCCGAATGAGTCCTGTCCGGGAGGGAGTGAGGCACCTTCTTGGATTCTTTTTTTTTTTTTAATCTAAAAGAAGCAAGTTCTTTGCTTTTAGTCGTTGTGGTCCATTCTGGTGTTTTTTAGTCAGAAGCCTAAAAAGTATTAGTTCAATGTCAGTAATTCATCTCCCCCTTATGGATGGAGTTCTTGTGAACGCCTATTTGGTCGTTTCCAGACACAAACGTACATTGGGCGAACCATGAAAGGAGATTCACATAGTTAAACTTCAGTCATTGTTAAATTATATGGTTGTACATTTAGTTGTAGGTCGAGTGGTTGACAAGTTTATCAGACAACGTCCAGCCTTGGTTAAAAAGTACCCAAAGATGAACATGTTCTTAATAATTAAAATCATCTTGGTTATTCTTTTCCTCGGGTAAAATTTTCTGACAAGTTTCTCATATCCATGCATTTGAATTTCCAAAATGAACCCCAAATGGTTCATGATTTTTTTTTGTCATGTAGAGCATGAAACCTCTTTGAGGTGCATTTAAAAGTGACTGATCCACCAGTGTCCCTATCAAGACTGATTTATAAGAGGACGTGCTCATTACTAAACTAGGGGATAAACTTCATAGGAGTGACGCAGGATTGAACAAAGTTGATGCGAATTTTCTATTTTTTGACGATATTCTTTTCAGCATTCAGTAGTTCATGAAACTACCGACATAAGATAATTCGTTTTAATGGATAAAGAAATCATAGATATCTGTTAACGGTTATTTAATATCAATGCATATCTTCTCGAGTATGAGCGATATTAGTCCCTAGTTGTTCTCAAATAAATCTACGGCTTATTGATTTGTATCTATAAACAATCTGTGTTGATTTCTTTTGAAATTTGTGTTATTTTTCCAGTGTATCTTGCAATCCAGTAATTGTTGCATCGCCTCTGAAACACCCTAAAAGTCTTTTGCTGATATGCAGTGGGCTCATCTCCCTCACCTCCAATGCGGGGCTAACTTCGACGGCGACAAACAGGGGAAACTTGAGGAGGCCACCACCGCCAAAGGAACCCCAAAATTTAAAGAACTTTGTTAAGAGTTGCCGTGTTTACTAGTAAAAGATCCGCCTGTTTTCTAAAGAACTTGTTAAGTTGTGCTACGTCGTCACTGTAGAATTATGTTCATTTTAGTTCGCATCCATGCGTGAATTAAATAACATCATGCTGGACAGTGTTCCTTTTCAACACGAAGCCTGGGATTCACGTTGACATGCCACGCGCGATGCTGTGGTTACAGTTATTGGTTCGTTCCCCTCGTCATACAACGTTGGTAATGTGGAATGTATCTCGTCATTCATAGGGGAGCCTGAGTCAGGAATGTATACTGATGTAAACTGAAAGGGGGAAGAGAGAGAAATAGATAGAAATATAGGTACATAGATACATGGAGAGAGAGAGAGAGAGAGAGAGAGAGAGAGAGAGAGAGAGAGCTGGAGACAGGCGCCTGCGTGTAATGCTCACGGTACTACTTCGCTATCGGTCACCCAGGAGAATTTAGCCTTAAAACTTGCTGATTCACACGGGATTCCCTCTGGGCTTGATCGTGGCGATTGTGATGCCATAGTCTGACGCCGACTGAAAAACTCTGTCGGCGTCCCGCGTCCCATCGGCTACGCCGCAATTACGGCGAACTCCCATCTGGTTTTGCTTTACCTCTCTTTCTCTCCTAATTGGATGACAGGTATGAACGCGGGGGGGTTGGGGGCTGGGGGCTGGGGAGGACGGGGAAGCGGCACGCCCTGGAGAGAGGGGAGGTATTCACTGGAGTTACACGCGAACGCCAAATAACCAGGACAAATTACACGTCCCCCACTTCACAAGGGTGAAATGATACCCCCATCCTTGAGACATGGCCCTTCGTGGACAGGTTCTCACGAAAAAGAGTTAGGCGTCCGTGAGAAACGGGAAATGGTTACTTGTGGACCGTTTCTCACGGAAACGGACGGCGCGCCCGTTTCATCATATTTTGGGGTGCCTCACAGCACCTTTGTGTATCATCACGTTAAGAAGTTATTATATCGTTGAATGACCTTCTTTTCTCCTCTCCTTCTTTATTATGTAATCTATCTCTTTATCTCTCTCATATTTTCTATCCTCTTGTATTCCTCTTCTCTCTATCTTCAGCTTCCCTACTCAACAGCATACAAAACCATGCGGCAAAAGTGATGCCTTTTACTTCCCACGAAGTTGTGACGCGATGACTATCAATTATAAAGAAAATTCATCATGTTTCTCCTCAAGAGACATGATTATATGTCCATAGTTTTCTCATCAATGAGAGTATTTAGAGTTGGCCGTTTAGAGCCGCCAGCCATCGACATATAACCATGGCTCTTGAGGAGAGAAGGAAAGCGATCACATTTGGAGGTGCCGCTATGAATCGATATACTGTTGGGTATGAATGCTTTGATACCATGTAAAGTAAAAGAGAGAAGATAGAGAGGAGAGAGGAGAAAACAAGGTCACTCCATATCTAGGAACTCTTTAACTTGATGATACACAAAGGTCCTGGCGCTCCCCTCAGATTGGATGAAACGAGCACCATCCAACAGGCTGTCCATTTCTGGGAGAAACGGTTCACAAGGAATCGTCCGACCGTTTCTCGCATACACCCAACGCCTTTCTAGGAGAACCGTTCCACATACTGTTTTACAGTCGGCAGATTAAAGTCTGTTTATCTCACTGAGAATGGTCGTATATCATGTCAGATGGATGTCTTTGCCTAGTTGGGGCCAAGGCCAGCTAGGACTCTCCTTTTTCTCTTCCTCACTTTTCTCTTCACGAGATTCCCAGAGAAGCCACCACCTGAACTACAGCTGCCGTGATACTATTAGGCCTGATGTATGATCAAGAGCCTGTTGAAGTCGGCGCCGTCGTCCTACGGAGTATTCGTAACTTATCCCGATCGAATCCGCCCTCTTTGCCTTCTCTTCTCTTTTCCACAAAGGTCTTCGTTTCCCTCCGAAAAAATGCTCTTTTCAACTTATATGCCTCTGAAGCCCACGGAAGTAATGTAGAGTACCTACATTACAGGTTCTTCTCGTCGAGGACAATGTATTTATAAGACATGACTCCAATCATTCATTTTCTCAATTAGATAGGACACCTCACGGTCGTCATGTCCGGTAACAAACGTATGAAGCCCATTGTTAGAGTAATTTTCCAGCTGACAACTGACATTAAATCATGTGATTATAAGGGATTTTTATTCAACCCATTACGATATTTCTTTTTAATTGGATGAGATAGTACTCTAGCTGTGTTTTCGTATCGTACAATCATTATATAAAATAAATAAAATTATGGGACTATATAAACGGGCCTAATGCATTCGTTTTCAAATTACTTAAAATTATGTCAAATGTTTTAATATGATATTTAAGGGGATCGGTGGTCCTCGGTGGAACAGTCTCAATTCCACTATTTACGCTGAAAATTCAAAAACCAAATATTATATGATGACTTATATTGTAATATTTCCGCATTCTAAAAGCAATAAAAACACGTGACGAGGTTTATAATTTACAACAGAATTTCGGTTGGTTCACATGACACTTTAACTGTGACCACACTGGCCAGATACCAATTTACTTGAACTATTGGCCGTAACTAACCCTAGCATACTTGTTGATGGTTAGTTGGAGTACTGAAGTTTCTCTCTCTCTCTCTCTCTCTCTCTCTCTCTCTATCTATCTACCTATCTATCCCGTTATATCAAAATAATTTCTATGTCATATCAGAAGAAGAACAGCATGAAGTATTTGTTTTTTGAGAAGAATGAAAGAACAGCTAAAGAATGTAAGTAGTACAGATGCACTTCGCATTGATTAAAATCCCGATCTATTAATTAATCAATGAGTAAATCTCTTCCAACTCCTAACTGCGTAGATGCTCTCGAAGGAGGAGTGGCTTCACCGGAAGAGTGCCACAAAGGCGTCCACGCCGCCATTGTTGACACTGAGAGGAAAGAAGGAAGCACATGCCGTCTCCGGGGAAGTAGGCTGGCGTGAAGATTTAGGGCCCTTACCGTGGATGTCCGGGTCGGAGGAGCACCTCGGGCAACTGTTCACATATAGTTTTGGACAAATGGTTGGCTTCCCCATGACGGCCGTCACCCGCTCCCGGGCTAGCGAAGTCCATGAACGACCAAAAGTGGAGGCGTCTTACGACCGTAACTGCGTGGTGGATGAGCACGGCGGCGTGCCCCAGCGACTTCGCCGGTAACGCTTGGCCGGGGAAAAACCCAGTGGATCAAGTTCCCGAGGTGGCTGCGGGGTGGGTCAGGCTGCGTCTACTGTTCGGCATCATTCTCACATACGTCATCTTATCAGCCCCCGTCATCTTAAGCTTGGTGACGAGGTCGACGGCGAAGTGGGCTTTGTAGACAACAACTTCCACCTTTGCTATTTTGTTTCCAGTAGTCGGCGGCGGTGACGGCATCTTCCTGAACTCGACTCCTCGGTGCTGGAACTCGATCATGGGAGGGTAGCGCGTGGCGAAAAATGAGGAATCCCGAGGAGCAGGAGGGGAGCCATGAGGAGGCGTTAGGTGGCTTCAACCCCTGCTACGATAATGTTGTAGGTGGACTGAAGCTTGGCGAGCAAGTGGCAGGGAACCCGACCACCAGCAACCCGCAGGTAAACCGTATTTGCTAAACTCGCACCAGCTACGCTGGGGGAGGGAGGTTCAGAAACCCTGGCGATGGCCGATGAGGCATCGCCTTCTTGGTTGGGCAATCTTCGGATGGCTCCACGAACCGGACCCTCTTGTCGTTGACAAGGATTCTTGGCTTTCCATTGGCTTATTTGCCAAGCCTGCTGAAGAGCACGAAAGTAATTTATATATATGAACAAACATTAGAACCTCCCGAAGCTATCTGGTGGTTTCGGAAATTTGTTTTACTTGTGTATCCTTGGTATTTTATTGTTTTGCATAGGAAAATCTCAAGACCATGCAAAAAATATTCAAGAACTGCTACAAAGCTATCACAACATAGATCATCAACACTTATGGCGATAATTGGTATAAATGTTATGTACGTAATATTCTGCTCATGGGATTTAACATTGGAGGTAATATTGAAAACATGTACGTTTTCATGTTAATTACGTCTAAGTCTTTGTAATCCAGTTGATTTAGGAATGTGTTCTCTCTTTTCAGTAGTATCTATTTAGGTCCCATTCAACCTCAAGGAAATTAGGAGGTTGACACTTCATTTTACACTAATAATAGTAAATCATGAGGCGTGATGAGATGTGAAATATGATACTAGCAAGTGATCATAAAATATTCAATACATCCATTTATAAAGATTAAATAGAATCAATAAAGGTGGCATGAACGAAAGAGAAACTTCCAATTAAATTTAATATTAGAATTGAAGTTCTTGAGAAGATAATGAAAACTAAGATTATAAGAGAATCTTTTTGTCATTGTAAATAATTATATACACATCCTATTAATGTCACAAGGTTAGGACTAGGTCCTATAGAACTGTTGGCATGATTAGGAATAGCATAGAGATTAAGTAATTCCAACCAATGACTAGAATTGCAAAAAGTGACATAAATGGGTCGGCACCATGATTCAACTGATTAAAATCTTGGACAGTTGTTTCAGCCGAAATGAGAAGAGTGCAATGGCCATGATGAATAGTGTAGCTGGACTTTGCATGGACATGCATAGAAGCACAAATGTAGACAGCAGGAATGTAAGCAAACACACTTGTGTTATTATTCCTTGACTAAAATGCAGTGGGCTAGAAAGAAGGCATTAATATCAGAAATAGAGAAATTTATTTTCCAACCCCCTTTTAGGTCATTGGGGATCTGAGGGAAGAGTATATATATGCATTTTCCCAATCAAGGAGAAAGGTGGCTGTTATTTTAGGTGAAGTTTAAGGACTTGAAGAATAGATAAAAAGTTCAACCTTTCCCCTCTTTTTCATTACCATTCCATTTGTGTCAAGAAGATGAGCTTTGTCTTCAAACTGCTGCAAAAAAGAAATTTAGGAGAATCATCCTTGTTTATTTATGTC